CAATTTCTTTGCTGGCATCATTACACTGAACATATATACTTGGATAGATAAATGGCCTAAAAATCTAGCTGAAGATTTTCGCCCCAAAAGCCTGATTTCTTGTGATAGTGAAGATACAGTCAAACGAGTTTGCCTGCACTAAAACCTTAATGGGCTACATCTTATGTGAGACAGTTAGGAGAATAGAGTGTACTCACAACGCCATAGCCTTCAACATACCTAATAACAACCCATCTCAAAGAGGTTAAGCAAGAATTGCTCAAATCTTTTGGCATATTAGATTCCTGGTGTCCGCATTCAAGACAACGCAAAAGCGTACACCACAAGTGCTGGCACATTCTAATCCGACTTATCAACGTCCGTGGAGCTATCAACGTTATCGGCAGTTAAATAATATTATTAACTAGCTCTTAGTCTAAGCGGATAAAGTCATGCCAGACGAGACAGTGTGCTAACAAAGAATAAACCAAAAAAGCGACAGCGAAGTTGAGTTCAGCAAATACTAGGCAATTCTCTAATCAGTCAATCAATATCAACAAAAAACCAAACGTTTCTGCATACCCGTCCAAGTTGTCGCACTTCATATCAGCACAACAAGTAACAAACCAATAAGATGAAAGATAAAGACAGGGAAAAAAATCGGTCGAAAGCAATGAAAAGCAGCAACAGAGAGGAAAGAGGGATAATAAAATGCTGAAACCAGTATCGTGATTAAGATGAAGTGTGGATGCGCTTGTGCCACTGGCATACATTCTGAGCTATATCTTCTAAAGTATCCAACGACTGGTTTCTGTTGTCATGTGAATAGCATCCGGCTGCTTTGCGTCTCCCAGGACTGCCAAACCATTTTTAACTCCCACTTTAAAAACTTTGGAGAGCTGCTACCCAAAAGAATCAAACACCTGCTGATGCCTTCATTTAAGAGAAAAAACCTTGCACTGCATATGGCCTTAAATCCAATTAACCCGTTAAATTGCAGAGCGAAAGAAAGTTTTTAGATACACCAAGACGTACTGCCTACTTTCTCCATTCATATTCAATTTTACCGCAGTTCTTATGGAGGTCTTCTTCCTGTCATGTGACTTCAAACATGGACAGTTTACAAAATGCTTCCATTTTGGATTATTCTAACTAGCTTAAGAAATGCGTATCATAAGGCGCCCCTAGTCTAATCGACAATAACTGCTGCCCTTTCTGGAGCCACGTTTTGGAACACAAACATGTAGCATCATATACTTTTCCAGAATCAATAGCCCATGGTTAGACGAGATTCAATAGTGATGCCAACCTTCACAGTCTTACCGAACTCTCTAAGCCAAAAAATCACGGTCAGGTATCCACGTCATTTGGAAGTCTGTCACGTTACGTTGCACTGCTCGTAATCGACTTTCCAGCCAGTTAGTTGGAACACATCGGTGTCTCAGTACGACCTAGGAAATATACTATTCCATCCAACAAGCTATTGTGTTCTTTCTTAGTCTCGTATTCGTGGGTATATAACAACTACGAATAATTAGTGATTGGTCTCTGCGTCCATCAAATTCGCATTAAGACAACTCCTAAAGACACATTTGCCGACACCCAACACTGACTGTATTTTTGGACTTGAAGGTGGGATTCAATTCAATCGGTCTAGAGGACTTATGGCAGTGCATCTCACTGAAAGGGGTGCTGATTAACTACATCACTCTGTTAAAGGCTCTTTATTCAAACATCCTTGGGCGTGTTACAGCCTATGATAAATTATGTACATCTAGTGGTGTTCATCAAGGATGCCCACCTTCTCCATTTCTATTCAATTTTATCGCAGTTCTTATGGAGGTATTCCTTCTATCGTGTGACTTCACAGGGATCGCTCTTATTACAGGAGAATCCTTGGTAAATCTCGATACAGAAGTGGCATATTTGTGTCAGGCGAAAACGGTGACAAGATGCAGAGTCTTCTGGACACCTAGAGGGCAATTTGAGAATGTTTGGTATGTTTCTGACCAGTCAAATGCAAGATGTTGCTTCGGGATTGGTCTTCAACGGTGCCCCGGCTAACAATAGGGAGTGAAATGATCAAGTGCGTTAAATACTTTGCTCATCTGGGAAGTCGGAGCAGCCCTGGCGGGTCAATGGCTGATGAAGTCTCTGCACGGATACAAAAGGCTTGGCTGACTTCGGCTAACTTACGCCATCTGTGGCGTCGCCGTGTTGTCTGATTGTCTATTTAGGGTTTAGTGTACTGCGCTACAGTTCGCTCTGTTCTCCTGTATGGCTGTGAGACATGGTCAATGGAGGTAGAAGACATGAGGTATCAGGTGTTTGACCATCGTTGCCTTCGTAACATTGATTGTATGTTATGGTGCCACCAGGTTAGTAATACACAACTCAAATATAGGCTCTTGAAGAGGAAAGGAAATTCAGTTAATTAGTTTATGAGCTTTCATCGGCTGGGGTGGCTGAGAAATTTATGGCGCGTAGCTTTTCACCGTCTGCTTCGTCGCGCAATGTTGGCTGAAGTCGGTTTAGATTAAAGGCAGGTTAGAGGTGGTCACATTAAAACACAGCATCAGTGCATGAGTTCTTAGACCTACGACTTGTTCCAATTAGAAATATATATATATACTCACCAGTGTGGCTCAGCATGATAAGCGAGATCGCTGGTTTAAAACTCTCGCTAGTACGGCTCAGAAATAATATCAGTATCTCAGCTGTTTCAACACAATGTTATTTTATCAGCAGGCTGAATTTCGGCCTCGCCTCACTCCTCCTTCTTCTCTTTTCACAGCTTTCTAACACTTCTTATCAATATCTTCATTATTTTCCCCCCTTGTATTCTGGTGCATCCTAGCCTGTTATTCTGACTTCAGATGTGGCAACTTGGACCTTAACGCAGTGATCCTTCGTCCTATGTCGGTGTTCATGAGAAAAATGGTCTATTCCCCAAACTGCCTCCTTGCATTAATCTTGTAATCCTGGATATATCTATTAAGGCAAGACTGAAACTAAATGCAATGATTGACCTGATGTTGAAACAAGGTCCATTGGTCTTGACTACCATTTTGAGAGGCAAGATCCCTACGGGAGTTACCGTTACTCCAATTAAAATGTTTCAGATAGGAACTAACAGCACTCCGATCACTCAAACAATCATGGTCCTGAGAAATCTATCGACTGTTTCATTAAGGACCCATGAAGAAGCAGATTAAGTGATTATCATGCTCCTGCAGACATTTCAAATTCCAACTCTTCCGACCCACTCAATTTTTTTGAAGTGGCTATCAAAAGTACTGTTTTAATTCTTTCACAGACAACGCATCATTGTTATCAGGAAATTAACAAAGTAGCATCATATCATCAATTAGTCTGCAAAGTAACAGATATTCCGCAGTGTGACATGAATTATTCCAACATTTTTCTAATAAGTGCATGTTCTAACTTAAAATATGAGCCTTATTTAAAAAATCTCCCACTGATTTGCAAGCTACTTTAAAGGCCACCATAGCAGCAACTGAAATAACCAATTAAGCGTTTGCATTTCGTAAAAATCTGACTTTTTAAACGAAATGAAGAGACGTAATTAGTTATTTTGATCATTTCTAGGGTGGCATTTAAAGTCGCCCTGATTTGCTGAATTTCAAATCACTGAGGCACTTTGCACATTAGACATGAATGGTAGCTTCTGGTGTGAAAGGGACTGTTTCCTGCAAGGGAATAGATTCAACGATCGTGGTGGCAGATATATTATATATTTATAACCAAATTTCAAATCCATTTATTATGAGGACCCGATTTTGAATATAATGATGCAAGCTGGGTATCGACAAGCCTCTACCTCAAATTATTTGCTATGCTGGGGTGTATCTATCGCTCACCAAGCTAAAACAGAGACTTCCTAAGCGAAATAACAACTGCCTTTAACTGCACGGCCTCACTGAATTTCAACCATAAGATTATTAGAGACGATTTTAATTTCCCTGGAATCCCTTGAGAGTTGATTCATGCTCCACCTCGCTGAAGTGATTTCTAAGATGTAGTCGGTCTTTGCAGATGGATACAAAATACCCAAAAAAACAACTCGAGCCGACATTTTACGTTAAATATTTACCAATGCAATGATATCCTGCCCACCTTAAAGCATGTTTGTTGTATATCTATTGGAAGTGGTCATAATACAGCCATTTAATCACTCGATGTCAAATCGTACCACTATTTTAAGTGATCTTGTGTCATAAATATACTAGTTGCGTGCTTTTAGAAAGCTGGGTGGAATTATTCTACCTATTTCCTACTTTGTCTAGACTGCGACTTATTAGTCTTGTGCACTGCCCCGGACGTTGCTCTAACATTTAATATAAATATCTCTCTGTGTTTTGATCATTTGGTTTCTAAATGCTTAACCAAGCCTGATTTTAGCATAAGTGACTTCATTCCAGATAATGTTTGGACATAACCACACAAATTGCACTGAGAGTGAGTAAAAGACAAAGATTTCTCAGGACTTTACAACGTTGACGATATCTACCTAACTTTCCATGAAACTAAGGAAATATCACTGCTGAAAGAAAAAAAAGAGAATCTTGACAATAACTCCTGAACTAACTCAGTCTGTAAATTTAGCCTCAAAAAAATCAAACGTTGTAAAGTAAACATACCTTCCATCGCAAAATACAAAATGATTACCAATGATCCTGATGGTGGTTGCGAGACTTTAAATGTTTACCTTATTAATACACATCGCCAAGATGAGAATGCATATTCACTTCGATTTCCTCTTCGAACGCTGCTCCCCATAGGATATCATGAAGGCCATAACTTATTTAAAGAGTTAAAACAACCTAGAGCCCGGTATCATGCACTATTCCCTCATAATATATGGGGGTAAGAATACTCCCTTCCTAAGATTTTCTCCGTATCTTTATCAAGGATCTCGTCCGTTAGTAACGAACCACAGACGTGTTAATATAACGTCGGTTATCTCAACGGTCTTCGAAAAACCAGTCAAAAATGCTGTTGCTCAATTAAAAACCAATTATATTAAGTTACTATTGAATGCATAGGACAAGTTGTCACTCATTCAAACACCTTAAATTATAACCACTAGCACAACAAACTCGAGACTAAATTAGTGCAAATATCTCAAACTCTGAAAAGGCATAGATGCTCTAAAGTGATTGATACAAAAGTCTCACATTTCGGTGAGAAAATTAGATGAAACAATGGAAAATAGGTAAATTTAACACAGATCATGCAGTAATTAATATATTTTTGCAGTAGATATGTTTTAGATGATGAAGCTAGCATTCTTTAACTGTTTTTTTAAGTGAAAGGAAATGTTATTCTGTTTGTGTCGAGTTTGAAAAGGTTTTTTCACTGAATCTTGTTTCAGCAGCATGAGATCCATTAAAGCTTAAAGTTGTTCCAGAATATGACTCTCCAGTGTAATTAACTGACAGCTTATCTTTACAGCTAAGATACATCCGAAGAACACGTTGTACAAAAGTGTCAGCATTTAAAAAAATTGGCATGTAAGGTTCAATCTCTTTTTTAACTTTTTCCAGATCAACTTCCTCCAAAATCTCTTGAGGACCACCTTCTGGTAAAATACCCAAAAGGATTGCCAGGTATTCAGACATTTCAGCTTCTCCGATGGGTTCGCCTAAATATTTAAAGGATTTGGAGATAAGTAGGCAAATTAACTTCTTTACAATTATATTCAGGGTGAGAAAACCATTCTGTCATTGAATAATAACTAGTTCACAGGTTTAAGAATTGAGATAACACACCAAGTTTGTGAAGTAACTTATGGCAAACCACTATTCATTACTCAAACTTTTTAATCTTCTTTAGCTTTCACTAGAATTTATTCCAACAGCAAGTATAAAGAGCCTGAAGATTCATTGTACCAATACATAAACTAACTGTGCGAAACCAGTTTTAGAAATCAGAAACCACAGAGTTATGAAATGACTAACTAGAAAGCGCACTTGTTATAAAATAGCTATGGAGAAATATGGTAGAACTTTGTAAGAAGGGGAACTAAAAAAAATGTGTACGCAGAGGCACTGGCGTATTGTTTATTAAGATGATCAAGACTGTTGGCTCAAAAACAGAATTCTGGCCATTGTCAAAATAAATTGCTTAAGCTACATTTTGCATATTTCATACACCTGTTAACCACAGCATCTGTTTTCACCAAATGAAACAATATATATAAAGATGAACTAGAAAATAAGGTATAGGAGAGGAAACAAATCATGATTTCAAGGATATAAAGACAGATATAATCAGTATTGCATCTGTTTGTATCTAATATACTTTGGGAAACCTTATTGTAAAGAGGTGAGGGCAAGAAAAAACATCTTCAGCGGCTATTTATCACTAAGTATTACCTTTTCAAACACTATTAGTAGTTCATCTCTCGTTACTTATATTGTATTTACTTTGACAAGTACATACGAATTTCCAAATGGTTTTGTCAGCAATATTTGACAATTCACCTTATAAAGTAGGGTTACTTTCATCACAGAGAATGTGTTACGAAGTAAAGTTTCTAATCAGTCGATTAAACTTTGGTCATTATTGCACTACTTTGGATTGACAGTGATATAAACACCAGTTTATTTGGTTGAATTACTTAAGCTTTAAGGGAATTTTCATTTTAACGTTTGTGAATGAAATTTTGAGAATTTACTTTTCGCTGAAAATATTTCGTTGAAAGAATTGAATTCCGCAATTTCTTTTCATTCTTAAAAAACTCGCTATCACTATGATATAATATTCCGATTAATCCTATTACCAGTTTCTTGGAAGGAAGCGATGTAAGCTGAAACATTATCTACATCAAACTCTTGTAGTACGTTAAATCATTCCTTTGTGTAAATAAGAAGTATTCCTAACCTAATTTCATACAGATGACTTGTTATTTAGATGAAATTCGTTTAGTACTCTGAACAAACTTTTAGCATGATTCCTCTTATTATACACACTAGTGGTGCTATGATAAAATCTTATGTCCCTTTCATTTCAGTGATTAATTTTTTCGTTTTCAGGTTTGCAGTAGCTAGAATCAGTCACAAATGGTTACTCATATCTACTGTAGAACACAATACTCGTGTCGACCGATAAACTTTTTTGTATGCAAACTTCATTGTATGCCCGATTCATTTTAATATAATCTACATTCAAGACGAATCATCCTTCAGTTCATGTTACTTCCCCACTCGTCTTCTGTATCTCTTCTTGATGTTATCACTCACTTTTCATAAATTCTACCGATCAAATGTTTACTCCTAGCGCCTTCATAAACTAATCGATAAAACACTACATATTAGTAATATGTGCGCTTATAGGTTCGCCATACCACACTCAGCCTTCGGTGTGAATATTTTTGTTGCATAAACTTAGCATTCTTCCAGAATTAAGTTTGAGTATTGATTAGATCTTGGAACATTAGCCAGTGATGTCTGTCATTTCTTTCAATGAGATAGAGAAGTTATGTCGGAGGGAACCATTAAGTTGCATAATACATATACAGCTGATTCTCCTATTGTGCAATTGTGAACGTATCCTTCGAGCGATAGATAACAAACGCCGATGGACACAAAAATAGACGCAAAAACTTAGAAAGTTACCACATTTTACAGAGTTATGCATAAGTGATGTGGATCAAAAGGGAATAAATAAAATCCGTTCTATTTAATTAAAATTAAAAAAAAGTACACTTCCTACTGAAACATTTATTCTCATGGTTCTATACAGGTAGACAGTGAGGTTACGCGCAAGTGATACAAATCTCGTGGGATAAGTGCTATTTGCAACGTATTACTCAAGATTTCCTTTTAGTATACACTTCTGATGATACTTTTGCCTATGCATCCACTTCAATTTGTAGAGGTCTTTGAAAAACTGTTGTATTATGGACCCATAGAGTGAGCTCTATTTCAGTCAGTAGATTGTATCGTCTGAGGAAGGTAGGCTACTCGGTTAAGTCGTTCACTTGTATGTCATTAGTTCCTCCCTTATATCCTCGTGATCACCGGTGCACCTAACGAAGCTTGGCAAGCAGGTAGTATTATCATCTCTGGCACATAAGGTCATCTACAGTCTTGTACGTGAACCTGTAATTAGCCTTCTTATGTAAAGAATTCCCATTTCAGCTGAAATAGAGAAACTTAATTATCTGTTCTAATCGTTGCTAAAGTGGCCTTCAGAGTCAATTACTTTAAAGCGGTAATGTATTATTAGGGCAATTGAAAACGTTGATGGAAAGAGGAACAGACTACTTTTCATTATATATTCAAGAAAAACTCAAATTCTACTTCTTTCTACCTCTTAATTTATCTATTCTTCTCTTTAATAATGAATATACTTCAGTGTAACCGCTACGAGTTCAGACTTATGTGACTGTTGATATTATGATTTTGTTTATATAAAGACATATATTATGCTAATACTGTTTTCCGATTTCAGTATTTCACTGATTGTTATATAAAATGAAACAAATGTACGTAAAATTTTAAATATAATACGTAAAACGCAGTATTATATTTGAAATTAGAAGTAATATCGCTATTACTACCAGTCAAGCTTAAAAAACAAAACTGCGAATTAGACAGCATACGTTTTTCTGTCGTGTATGCGAAAAAACGTAGCCACAAGTTAGATTTTAATGAAGGCAATGATGCTGGTAGTTAAATTACCCTTTTATCCAATATGTGAAAGACAACTCACCTAAATTCTGCAACGACAAAAGTAATTCTTCAAGAGGAACAGTTGGTTTATCTTCTCTTTTCACCTCATCAAGATTTCTCAGTGAAGCAAACTTTTTTCCATCATCGATATTAATGCTAGTTAAAACATTGAAAGCAGCTTCAACATCCTTATACAGTACACCCTGGTACGGCCTATGATTACAGTATACTGAAAACACCAAGAAAGTGTTTAAAAGTGTAGCATATCAGTTTTTATTTGATCAACTATTTCTGAGAGAAATTTGAATATTTTACAAAGGCATAATAAATAAAATTAGCTTTTTGTCAATTTATACAGTTACAGTAGTTTTTCATTTAAATATTCCGAAGTGATAGATAAGTGCATGCTGTTTATAGGTTGAAGTATACCTTTCTAGAAAATGCGCACAAACAACTCTTAAATATTTCCTCACTTACATTTTTGGATACATGAGTTTTGTTTCGTCACAAGAGTGTTCTCTTACTATTTTTATCTAAATAAAGTTCACCGTGTGAGATTTCGCATTTTTAGATGCAAAATCCGAGATTGACCAGTAAAACAAATTTTCAGACAGACAACAACAATAAAGGTCCAGATATTATACTGCGCAACGGTTCAAGTTGTCACTCCTCATACCATTATATCAAGAGGAAAAGTACTAGATAATGATAAAGAAAGAAGAAAGAAGACGGTCAAAAGTAGTAAAGAGTTGTCAGAAGAGAAAGAGGAGGAACGAGAGAATTCTGAAATTCACTATGGCAACTACAAACAGCAATGTATGGGCATATCTGTGCCACTGAGATCAACTTTGAGTCATATTATATAGAGTCTCGAACCAGTGGTTTCTGTTGTCGTGCAAACCTTAACCGGGAAGTCTAAACTTTCCTGAAAGGCTATTTCTTGGTTTGGCCATCTCCAGCGATTTTCTAGCCTAAACTTACTTCAGCCAGCATTATGGGATGGCACACACGGTGACTAGACATGTTTAACACAAAACCCAACCATCTGAACCAATGAAGATTCACAACTTCATTAAGTGACTTTCCTTTTCTGTCTAGAACTATGCACCTTACTTCTACGTGACTGACATGGTGGCACCGCGATAAATGTCTATAACACAAAGGCAGCAGTAGTCCAATGTATCAAGCCTCCTTAGGTCATCTACGTTTAATCGTCATGTTTTACAGCAGTATATTAGATGAGGATGAACTGCTACGCACTGCATGCAACCCATAGTAAATAATCAGATATCACAGTGGTGTCATAAATGGCGTAAGCTGGTGAAGGCCAAGCGAGATTTTGTAGCCTCATAAAGGTCTCATTGGTCACTGACCAACTAGAAATGATACAACTTCCGAAGCGGTCAACACACTCAACCACTTCACTGCTTACTGTTGGACAGGAAACCGTTGAAGACCAGCCGTGAAGCAGCAGCTCTCATTTGGGTAATGAGAAATGCATTTCAGACATTCGCAATGATATAGATATGAAAAATGCTTGAGAATCAGTATATGCTCATACATTCCATAAGCTCAAAAAATATTTTCAGCTCTCCTGAAACTAAATATTTGATGAATGTAAGGCAGCTAGTCTCCTTGATAAAGTGAAACGGCTTAATGAAAAGATGAAGAGTATCTGAAGAATATGATGCATCAGCGCTACATATTTCAAGCAATTTGATCATACATTGTAGGTTAAATACTTTCAAAAAGTTGATAGCGTTGCGATGGGACAATTGTTAGCTGATGTTTATATGTATTATGTTGAAAACCTGGTTTGGCAATCCTGTCGAAAGTTTTTCTCTTCATATAATGTATGTCAGTAATATAGTCGTTTTGTGTGAAAAGCCTGATGATACAATACATCTGCTGGAAATGAACATGGTTCAAAACTAAATTATCTTCAACTGCCATTTTTAGACATGTTGCATAACCGGTGAAAATATGGCTTAATCAGAAGGTTTATCCATAGGAAGCCGACTTGGTTACCATAGCCACATTTCCTTCCAGTATAACCAAGGTTTAGTTAGATGCTTATTTAACAGGATAAATCATATATACACCAATGACACCAAGGGAAGTAAAGTTGAGGTGTTGGCAACACTGGTACAGAATGGTTACCCTTTGAAATTTATCAAAAACTTAAAAAGCTGTGTAGCATTTAAAAATATTCAGTGTTTAGTTCATAAGAAAAATGTCTACATATCAGTACCATCTACTGGTGATTCACAGTTTTATTATCGAAAAAGGCTTAGATCAGCCATTTGTGAAATGTACTACACAGCCAAGGTCATCTTTGTTGGTAAGAAAAAGTTCTCCCTACAAACAAATCAAAATAATACATGAATGATTGCACTACATCCCATGGTGTCTATGAATTTACATGTATATGTGGATACACATACATGGGGAGCAGTAGTCTTTACATAAATTGCGGTTTTTAAAAAAATAACCACAAATGATCCGATATGAGCATGTAACAAACGTTCATCTTCATCTCCTGCCAAAAATATACTAGAAACTAGTCAGTCTGGATATCAAAACAGCCTTTAAAGTATTACATAAAAGTAGTCAGCACCAAGTGTCTAAATTTATCAAAGCTCTAGCCCATCCGCAAATTTAAACCATCTTGCATATAAAAACATTTTGTACTCTCATTGAACCTAGTTCGGTACCGCTGACTTTGATTTTCATGTCAAGTGATGTGATTTGAGATTTTGCTTTACCCTCCGTGTTCTTATGGTGCCTATTGTCTTAATTGGCATTTCTTGTAAATTTTCATATAAATAATTCAACAATTCCATGTGTAGTAAAATTTTCAAAATATATGACGCTAATGCATTACATGTTTTAGATAAACTTCGTTTTAGCTTTACTCTGTATGAACATAATGAAATTTTTATTTCATAGTAGATGACTTAAGGCATTCAGTTAGAAATTCTTAGAGTGACAGTTTCCGCTCCTTAGAAACATTATCAGTAATTGGCTAGGGCTCCCTTTAATTGTTTCGTTGCTTGATTGATGTTGGCTTTAATGTATGAGGTTTCTATCTCCTCGAAATTGCGGATACGATTTGTCGATGACTTCTAAAGTAAATTCAGCACTACTCACCAACTTCCTCGGAAAATCAAGCAGGAAGTACCCAGTGGTATTATTTCGTTTAGCTTAATGGTTACATTTGAAATATGATTGGTGGAGTTTGATTAATCGCAAATATTGAGCAGTATGATGTTCGTTACAAGTGTGATATAACTGACTTCACTTTGTAGCAACCAGAACCTCAAGAGTAAAATATCAATAACTGAGACAGAAAAAGTCAACATATGCAAAAAATTTGTACCATAATTACCACACGTATAAGTAAAACTAATGTTTCCCAGTGTTTCAAGCAAATTTCTCATGTCTTACACATGTTTTACATTACATTTAGACTACTTGCAAATTAGATTTTGCCCATTCTAAAAAGGATTAAATAACACTGCTTGAAAATAATATACTGTGTGAACAAATTGTGCAAAAATGCCTGTCTAAACTCATGTCCCCGTGAAGTATCTAACGATAAGTGAATTCATAAGTTCTGTATCATCCGTGACAATTTTTTTCAAAAACAACTTTTTTGAATTTTACCTTATTTAAGTGGCAGGAAGTGTAATTACCAATCAAAATTACCTAAGTTTTGAAGTCAGAGATATCCACTGATGTTTATAATCCTTGTCAAAATACGTTGAACAGTTATACTGAGTGGTCATTATAGACTGACCGATTTCATCTTTTTTAGTCTAAATTGCCGACTTAACTCTGCTGGTCATCTTGCAATGTGATCACAGAGTTAAATAATTGATACCAAGTGGTAGTAGGCAGTTCGCAGGATACCCTAGACCTAAGTTTCTTGTTGATACTCTTGAATAAGATGTATCCTAGAACATGATTGGAACTGATGTGCTCTCTGAGATACGAGTTCGCATCACTCAGTGCTTCAGTTACAGACGTTACCACTGAGCTATTCAACCAGCGATCGACTTCTTGTACAATCGGATTAGATATAATAACTGGTCACCAAGTAGTAGTTAAATTCCTGTTATCTGGTAGTGAGCGCCGACCCAATTATACCGATCATTTTGCATTAGAAAACGCAGCAACGCAGTGTACTTTGATGCATTTTAGGCAGTACAGGGCTACAAATACGCCTTGCTGAGAACTACCGACAATAAAGAAACTACTCCACTGTCTCCAACCACCTAACATCAGTCACAATGAACAGTGTTACCTACAGGTAATAACTGAGGATCCAATCGAAAGCAAATGCAAATAAAACCTTTTGTAAGATATGGATATATTAGTTATGCTCATCCAGTCTAAGTTCGTTTCATTAAATCATACCATTTCAAATCGGACACACCGGCGGACATTATTTTACTTCTTATCTTCGAAATTTTAGCATAAAAGTAATTTTAATTAGTTCACTCTTTTATTGTAGGCTTTTTGTTTAACTTAGTATACTTCTATTTCTGTTGTTTGTTACTGTTAGGTTTGATAGCCTGAACTGATGGAATTCTGTCCAAACTTATTAGTTACTTTGTGCTCAAAAAACTTATGAAATTCGAAGCTGTAAGAAATTTTTAAGCTTGATGAAAACAGACTACTTTGCATTTTTAAATAGCCTATTATATTGTTATGCATGAAATGGGCTTACATTGAATAAAGGTATCTAAATCAACTTCTGTTGCATACTCGCCAGTATCACAAAATTTTGAATATTTGATTTCGTTTATCATATTTTCAATCTAAACAGAGAAAAAAAGGAACAAACAGTTTTTGAGCGGTTTCCTCAAACCCCAGTTGATTCGGTAAGTTTCTTGTCATAAAAGCTGTAGCGAAAAACTTCATTTCTATGCATAATCCGTATCACCAACCATTTCTCTGGTTTGTCACATTGGATTTAATGGTTTTTAAAATTTTTTTCATTATCAAAAGTATAGGATAGATGAAAAGAAAGTTAGAAGATTCTAAAATTAACAAAAACGCCGTTTATTCATTTCCAGCTAACTAAAACAAAAATATGAGTGATTAATCCTTCGTTGGGTTGTTTGTTCTTGAGAGAAAAATACCTTCTCTTGCAAATAATTTTGTTCTTGATATGCAAACTTCTAACAAGACCAACGATATTTAATTTGAAAATAGTTCCTACCCGCAAACTTCATACATCGCAACTTTATTAAATCAGAGTTTGCTGAACAGCTAGTTTGTGACTATTTCCACCAATTCCATATCTCTGAGCCAAGCCGAGGAGTACTTCCGCTCCTCATAATTTCAAAGTACTGATAGGTCAAGAAGTATCCTCAACAGTGTCTCGACTAAGGTGGCACTTATATCTAAACAACGACAATACTGCTTTTTGCAAATATTTACAGAAAATTGAATAGATTTTAAAATATTTTTCATCGTAAATTTGCTCAGTTAAGGAAGCCAGAATGCACTCGAGTGTCTAAAAATAGTCGTTCATTTCTAAGCATCTGATACCGGCAGCTACTTTCTCTACCATGTAACTACTAAGTTAGCTTACAGAGGTTAAAAAGTTTTTGTCTTCATGTAGCAGTCAATTACTGGAAACAGAAACACTCCACCAAACAGTCTGACATTTGCTTTTACGTTTACTAAGTTATCTTGAAAAGAAGTTCCCATTAAAAGCTAGTTCTTGTGCAAGAAAATAAGCTAGAATCCAAGTGAACTAGGTAACATCCGCACCACGAGAAAGTCGTTCAGTGTCACATGTACAGAAATGACTATTGATTACCAAAATGATCATCAAATGGGAAAAACACAACCATTAGATATTTATTCCAGTATCAATATGGTCTGTCCGGATGTTGGACTCCAGTCTGAAAAGACAGCGTTCACTGGATGGCCTTTGAAACATAATTTGCAGAAGATTATAAGAAATAAATTGCTCTTCAAACATCATTTAGTTAATAGTACGGTTTCACTTTATCATAAAAATAATAAAAATAGTGTTTAGTTCAACTCATCTATTGAGCGCATAATTCCATTTGCCATCAAATCATATGAAATCTATCGAGCAAACAGGTAAGCCTTATCAAAATAGGATTTCGCATGATAATGTAACGATTTCAATGTTACACCTCACATCATCACATCTTTGTTAATGAAAGCAGTAGTTAAAACATGAGCTAAAAAATAAAACTCTCCGTAGTCAGAATAGACCATAATGCAAAGAATAAAACAACGGGCTGAATACAGGTACACAGCCCTGGGATTTAGGTGAAGACATGATATGAATACATCTGCACTACATAGATTTGGAACTTCATGTCACTCAGAGTCAGATCATCTATTTCAGTTGCCTTGTAAACTTTATCTGCAGCACTCAAAATAACGATAGGCAATTCCATAGATTGATACTATATGCTTATCATGCTCTAGATAATATAGCATGATACGTATACATTGCTACTAATTCACTTTATTGTATTCAAATGACAGATTGTGACTCAAATCCCGTTCCGTAAGAAGCACATCCCCTTAAATTCCGTGGCAGGTTTAATAAATCGCTGAAATGAGGAATTAGCGCCTATGTAAACTATGAATGACGTAACAATGCCCTGAATATTGTGAGATATGAAGAGATAACCTTGTAGTGCATCCAATAAAGTAAAAATTAATTTTTTTTTTAATGACTTATCACAGTGCAAACTAGTACATTCAACAGGAAACTCATTTGATCCAACAGTGATGTAATTACTCATAAGCTTTCTGTCAAGAGGCATTAACAATAACTTATTATTTTCAATAAATCCAAAACTTGTTTGTAGATTGCTAAGTACTTTCAAAAATTTCATGAGACTGTTAAAAACAGAAAAAGATAAATCGTTCATGTAAGTGTACAAGGTTGGGTACTAGGTATTTACTTATTTCTGCCAAGTTTATTAGATCTGTAGCTTAATGAATTATGAACTGGAATTCTAGGAACGAAGTCACGCGATAGAGACTCGTTAAACCTACACAAACTTTTGTGTCCAGTTTTTATGTTATTTCTTCAAAACATATAGGCAGTTCACACCTAGGGCATGAGTATGTATGGGTTCCCTAAATTATATCATCCATTGTACTTTCCTTACCTAATCAGTGAGGTTTAATCGAGTAACTAGTGTTAGCAACTGACCTCTTATCTAGTCTACATTTTTATTTAAAATTTATTGTAAAACTCTTTCATTGTCTTTTCAGTGAAGGAATTTTCTTGACATAAATTAAATGTATAGTTTGAAAGTGTAATCGTGTTTACAACTTGATGTCTAGTAAATTAATACAACAGGAAATGTTGAAATAACGTCTACACATATTTCAGTTTTATATCATTTAACATTAGTATTATTTAATGTTAATTAATTAATTATCAAGATTGGTATGCCGTAAAAAGTTGCATGAGACTGTACGGTTGTAGAGTTTGTCATTATTTTAGTAGTTTAGGTTTATCACTGATCCCACTATTTACTGAAATAACGTTACCAGTCTAGAAAAGATAACTTTCAAAACTGCTCATACATGTTTTTAACACCTACACACCTTTTACCCATAGGTACCAGGTACATTTCACTTAACTACTTAGTTAGTGTTTAAGACACTATTAACTGTTTTCAGTCATATCATAGTCACTTTTGCTTTATTGTTCAACATTTTAAAAATAGCAGTTTAAACTATTGAACTTTTGGATCGTCTTTTATGTTGCTCCAGTTAGACATACATTTGTAGTTCAATATTTAACATTCATTTCTACTGGTTTTGACGTACGACTGACGATTCTCATACTGATGCTAAAGATGTATTCGTGACCAATCACAAAATTCAATTACTCATTGATTTAATCGCTTTATGATAATTTAGTTTCTGTGATTCAAAAATATTCAGAAGAAATTGGAAATTTGTTTGAAGGAGTACTAAGTGACATATAAGTGTAGTTCTTTCTATTTTCTCTGCTTTTTATTACACTGGTTCATAGAAGAAATTATAAGCATTTTTTATCCTTAAGTTATGAACTAAGAGTTATAATAAGTTTTCTTGGAAAAGAGAATTTTACACGTTTCTAGATATGTCAATATCTTAACTCCACTTAACGATGACTCACTGAAAAAATATTTTACTTAACATGTTGGTGTCTCTGTTGGCTCATTCATTCAAAAACCCAAGTTGCTAGCTGGTTAAACAGCGAAAGTCTAAATAATTCGGATCAGAGCTAGGTATGCTTTTCGTATTTCTCCAAAGCATGAGTTGCTTTCATGCTGATGTAGGTAGTTCAAAGGAAAACTCATGATCGGAGAAAATCATACTATTATATAAAACCTGAGATAGCTCGGTGTACATGAGAAATATGCCTTTCACTCGCGGTAAACTACCTGAGAATTCCCGCAACTTGACTAAAGTTTCTATCTTCTGTAGACTCTAACATCATTGATGCTATCTCTCTCTCTCTCATGCAGATATTTGTATGCAGATGCTGAAACCTGGTATTTCCAACCGCAACGTTTATATCAACTTACTACTGCTCAACAGTTAGCTGTAACTTACTGGTTTAGAAAATCAGTTTTTAGCTATCCGTTCGTAGGTTTTAAATATACTGCATCTACAGAAGTTAAAATAACCAGGTAATACAATCTTTTTCATACACTAAGTATATCTGATCGCCGATTGTAAGAATCTGCACATAATTACTCAGTTGAACCATTACAATCCATTCAGTTGCACAAAAAACTGCAATATTTATTTCTGATGGTTCACTTGTACTTAAATAGCTTGAAATAGTACTAAGTGTAGGTGATTTATTACGACTAGTGACAAGGCAAGACTGAAAATTGCAAAAACCCATAATACATTCACTTCTTAAAACCATACAGAAATCAAACTATAACATATTAACATACCTCTGTTTCCGTTGGATAGAAGCCTATCGCTCGCATAACAAATGGTATTTCAGTTATTGGGATTGTTAATGATGTCTTTCGTTTGTCTAAGCAACGAATTCCTTGTGTTCTAAGCATGGAATAGTAAAAGTAATCTTTCATCTCTTCCATAAAGTCTCGCGATAAAAAAGCATAGAACCGTTCTTTTTTACAGTCGGTTTTCGACACTGTTGCCTCCAGAACACTAGTTATTGAGCGGAAAAAAGTAATTTTATGAAATTTTCATTTTTAATCATTATTTGAAAGCATAGAACTACGTTTCAGGCACAGAAAATGCATGATACAATAAAAATAACGTGTGAGTACTGGGTTTAGAAAACATAACATTTTTGCAGTAGGTGGATTCTCAAATGATAAATTTACTTCATACAAATAGCAAAAAACCAAGTTTTCAGAAAATAATTCGTTTAACATATAAACTTGATTTTCAAGAAAAGACAGAACAGGTGAATGATAAGTAAATTCTACGCCATTTACATAGTTTTCGTGAAGCAAGCAAGTGATAGTCATTGCATATAACAGGTTGAACTCTTGGTTTCTAATGAAAACGTTTATGAAGTAGTGATTTAGTACGACTTTTCTTAGTAATAACCTTTTTATTTTATAAAACGTAACATAAATAGTAAATCACCTATAAAATCGCATATGAAAGCTCAGTTTTAGATGTTGTTGTTCAGGTATATGAATTATTTGCTTTTGAGCAGCTGTATAAACTATATTTCCCCAGTTAGTAAAAGATTAGTAAAAAATGAATGATTATGCATACTGATATTATATATTTAGACCATGAAAATAATCGATGAATATGGGAACATTAAGTGAAAATATACCTAAGTTTGTCTTGATCTTCATTCTGAACGATCATTTAGTCAAATGGTGTTTAAATAAGTTGAAGACCCAGTCAGATAAGAACTTTTACCAGTTAGTGTAATAAAAATTCCCAGTTGAACGGATACAGCTATGTTAATAATTATGAAGTGGTGACAATAAGTAATATTAGAAATGTAGAAGGGAAAAACTGTACACACTAAGATACTCAATAAGTAGAATTTTTGAAAACGTGACATTTTTGTCAGATTTATAGTTTTAATTGTTACTGATCGTAATTTCTAAATAAATAATTTCTGCTTCTGCAACGGAATTCTCATCAAATAGAACCATCAGTGTGTAGAATTATGTTAACCGAAAAAAAAGGAAATTGTATTACTGATTATACTCTGTTATCTACCTCAAATAAAATTTTAATCGAATTAGAAACACCTTAAAAGATGCCTCAAGTTGTTCAGATAACTGACTATAAGCTGAATGAACTGAATAAACTGAAGCAGTTTCAAGGTAGTACTCATAATGAAATAATATCAATTGGAGAACCATTGAAAATCTGGGATTACTGGACAGTGGTTTCATAATAGTATGGGACTCAGCAGTAAGCACCCAGGACCTTGTTAGGGATCAAAATTAAGACCTTCAGGTCTTGTGACGATTGTGCTAGCCATTCAGTCACTAGTTCAGAGTTCAATGATTTAGAGTTTCCTACTTCTGTGAATATTCGATGTGTTACGACTATCCACCAAGGTCTTCAGTTGGCATCCGGTTCATTCCCCACTTGGATAGCAAAATGGTAAAAATGTTTCAGACCAACCAAACATCCACTACTCTGTTTTTACTAGCCACCTTACATTTTGTCATCGTTTTTCTCATAAAACTAGCATTTTCGCAGATATTTTTGACAACTTATCATTTTCTGCATCGGTTCAATAGTGAAAATTAACGCACTCAGTCCCCAGTTTATAGACACCAAATCACTGAGTTGGAAAGGCACCGTGAAGTTTTTTTAATTGTTATTGTGATACAATATTGCAGTATCAAGAAATCAACACGGTAAAAGAGTAAAATTTAGCAATGTAAGCTTACAATGATAGAGCATATTTCAGAATTTTAAGTGTCACCCTCCATTGGTTATATCTAGAACTCAAACAAACAGACACAGAAAAACTGTAAAGCTAATTAGGTTCAGATTCTGCCTAATATCTGTTTACCTACCTCGGTTTCAGTATCCACATATGTATACAACTATCTGGGCCACCGGCAGTGAATGCGTAATTACCGTTTCTGTCAATCGCCAATGCACGAGCATTTCCAATACCTCGATCATCACTTGGATGTGCTATAATATTTGTTGATTTCAGTGGATCTCCATCCAATGGCAACATAATCAAGCCTAAACGTTCTTTTGAAATGCATACCATAAAATAGTTTGAATCTTCTGGTTTCGAAACCAAAGGAATAACCCTGTAGAAAGAAAGGTAAAAAGTTATTTCTGCTTCAAACCATAGTTTCCGATCAATACTTTATTAAATAATAATGAAAAACTGAAGGGATATGGGACTACTGTTAAAAACAATAGCAGAATGAAACTAAAATGCGTTTTGATAACTATCTCGCTTATAAGAATTGACTCTCCTGTTTTAAGCTTGCTAACACAACTTCTAACTGTTTAGAAGATGAAAAGAAGAGGCTAAAAAATATCCATATAATTTAACTGAAAATAAGAACTAATTATGATCATAATAAAGTGACAGAGAACTTATCAATCATTGAAATGAGCTTATAGTTTACTTTCAAAATACTTTGATATTTCGTAGCCTCTATCAAAAACAATAAACAGCATTTGAATTACATTGGTTGGATGAAGGCAGTCGACGCAAAGCCCTGGACCAAGGTTTCGTACTTTTCAGCACTCGTCAGCAAAGTGTATCTGCAATCTTGACGGAACTGATATCCCGCCTGAGATTTGAACAACATTTGAAGTAATAGAATTATCTACCAAGTGGTGTTTCGCCTCTTTATTTATATGTATGCACTCACTCTGTTATGCGTTCTAATGTTTTGTAATTTTCAATATCTGTCTAAGTGATTTTCAAAGTAACCTTATAGTTGATAAACGATAACCAGAAATTTATGTTACTCCATTCTCCGTGATCAGTCAAGAGAAAAATGAAATGCTGTAAACTCAATAATTCAGTTTTGATGTGCAGCTGTATGACATAACAGAGACATTACAACTTGGTTACATTTAGGGAAATATTTAGGAAATTAGAAGATCATGGATTCACTAAACAGACTGTTTCCTTTAACCATCAGCAAGAAATCGCACTTACTGCCTACTTTTTTCCACTCACTACCTTGCTTGCATACTCATTAGTCAGTTGATAGTAATTAAATAAGAACGCAATCCCTCAACTATAGTTTAGTACAAACCAACTCTCTTGATCCTAAATAAAATATAACCGCAGGTATTTAGCAGAAAAGAATTATGTATTCTTTTATTTTAATAACACACAGACACATGATAAGTTCGTAAAACTAAAGTTTTGTAAAAACAAAAAAATATAACCTAATCCACATTCAGTAGCATGATTGTGTCTATTTGATTAAAGTTGCGTACTACATGCTCATAGCTGCTAAATTAGTTGCATAATAATTAGTGACTATCTGACAAATCATCCTGTGCATAATACACTACAAGCGTCACCAAAGGCCACCTCAGTAACCACTGAAATAACCAGTCAAGTTAATTCAGTAAAAATGGAAAGGGGGTTTCTACATAAAATAAGGAGCCAAAAACTTAAAACAACCAGGAATTCTTACTAGCCAGTTCATCAAATACTTTTTAAATTCTTATTGTAATATGTTTTGCGCAACAAAGTTATCAAATGAACGATATTCATTTTGTTATTCAAGGAATTAACGGAAGAATAGGCTTTCACCAGAAACTTTGTGGATGGCATACCCTTTATCATACGTTTTTATCCCATTGACCGTTCAGTAAGCATTGATGACATGATGAGTTTTTGCATTCACATGTATCATATTTATGACTTAAAGATAAATATGACTATTTAAATTCGAGTCTCAGTGGGAAAAACATCACTCACTGGTGTGCAGGCACATCAAATTGATGAGTCCCAAATGGGACGAAAGGAGCATCTTGGATTCCACTGTTAGCCACAAACAAGTTAATTGTTATAATTAAGTGTATTCTCTAAGATGGGGTACATGACCATCAAAGTGAATTCCTATTCATTTATGTTTTTAAACGTAGGTGACGCATTCATTAGTATTGAAGTTGAAGAATTCACCTCAGTCACTTAATTAACGCAGTGCAACTCAAATCCTAGGTAAAAACTTATGTACCGGCGTAGAAGCTAGGCCAAATGTTTGAAGACTAATGACAGTATCAGACTCTTCTGGTCTATGTAGGTGAATCAAGGTTTGCATAGGGGAACGGTTATTTCATAGCTATGCTTAAACGTTAACAAAAGCGCACCTCCACCTTTTAATTTCCCCAGCAGTTGAAGAACTAATATAGTAGCCTTACTATATCCTCAAGAGTTAGACAATTTTAATATATAACAATATTCTAAGTTTTTTCATACTACTGACTGAATCTTTCAGTAGCCGTTTGAGTAACTTTCTGATATCTATAATGCACCTGGAGTAATACCAATCTTTCGTCATCGTGACAAGCATGGCACCTCAGACAACCAAGGTAAAGCTACTCAATAAAGCCGAACAAGCTAATGAAATAAACGAAAACCCACCTATGTAAACATATTATCCCTTCAGAATGTAACTGTTCATTATACAATATCTGATTAAGCGGAAGTTAACCAAGACAATGAAGACGATGTCGACGACTGATAACATGAGTTAAGTTGATTCATTTAAATACTCTTGAGAAGGTCCTTATCCTTACCAATCCTCAACTAACACTGAATATAAAGACTAGGATGTTAATGAAAGCTCTAACGCAAATAATGTGAACTCGGACAAAAATTCTACCTCCATAATTTTTTTTAGTATGTATAACTTACTTCTACCTCTACACTCACTTTGAAGAATATAAGCTTCATTTGACCTAGTTTGTTAGTTATTACTAACGAAAAACCAATTCAGTATTGATTTCCAAGTAATTAAGAAAGAAATTCGGGAAACATTTGCTGATTTGTTTTTCAGAGATAACAGTTTTATAAAAACGGGACAAATAATATGCATATTTTACCATCGTAATGATAAACTTTGGTGAAATATCGGTCGTAATTAGGGTATGCTAACAAAAGAAGTAACTGTTAATGAAAGTTACATCTGGACATATTGTTAATCACATCAAATGTTAGTGGTATTTTAGCTTCGGAAGACAAAAACATCATTGCAAAAACGAGTGAAAATCTTTTTGCTTTTTTCTTTAGGAATAATGCTAAGCAATAAAAAGAGGCTCCAGAATCCAAATATGTTGTACCTCACTTCTACTGTGAACACCGCTACAAACTTAAAACGTGAATCATTTGTTAAGCTTCAAGTCGAAGAAAACTTCAACAAGCTGCAATTTTTAAAACGTTTTTCACTATGGTTAGTAAGGGAAGTCATAACATCCAGAATGATTTATACAGATCGTGGATATTAAATTGTTTAGAGTAGAAAATGACTTCTAAAATTAAAGTGGATAGTATTTAAATGTCTGCTAGTTGAAATGACGATTTTTATAGCTAAGTTTTATTAAAAAGTTCCTACAGTAAGTTGAGATTTCCCGTGTTGAGGCACATCGATACAACATAAATGACATAGTTAGCACTGAATAAAAAAATTAACATAAATACCTGCACATACACCAAATTTCTGAACAACTAAGTTTATACATACAACATAGTCTTAGCAACTGTGAACACTGGAAAGTTTCAAAGTTCTTATAAATCTATAGAAGAACCCCTAAAAGCCTCTTAGTACGAGTTGCGAATTCTATAAAGGTGTAATTGTTCTTCAACCTTTCACTTGATGATCTGTCAGAACTGTGCAATTTGTTGTAATGTTATTCTGCAAATGTTTGTACCTAGGCATTCAGTGATCCGTATTATGCTCGTAAAAGATACATTCATTGTCGAGTAATCCTCACATGTAATTGGAATCTGAGACTAGTGATCTAACTGAGAAATACAGTATGAATAGTTTTATTGCCTAAGAGTACTTGATAACCTCAGAATACCTTCGCTGTACAACTTAACTTGTGAAATTTGAAAAGGTAAACTTCCACTAATTGAAAAGATACTAGGAAAAGTTTCACTCTACAGCTATAGATAAGACTTACTTCGTATATTCTATACCTTGAGGGTAGGAGCTAACAGTTTTACGACACATCAAAGTAGATGTATTAAATAATTTTATTTTAGACGCTGAATTGGATATAAAGAAGAATTCTTCTTTGTAATATGGTGGTAGCATACTCAGACATAATGGTTTAGCGAGTTGTTCAACTTGATAACAAGCAATCACCGGTAAGAAATGTTTTTTAGCACTGTATGAATCATATTCAGCCTGAAAATGAAGAAGAAATTGAATAATAAAGCAATTACTTTTTATGAAAATCCCATTAAACTATAAAGTTTCAGTGAGTCATAACTGAATTTTTTTTACCGGTCTTCTGTCAAAGAATAACCCACTTCAACACACTTAATGTCTAGACACGGATGCGACTTACGCAACCATATTCGATGGTTGAAGTAGACCTTCTAGAAGTCCAATCTAAAACTATATCTTGTACTTGTAGATAGTCTTCAGTAAAACACATCTACAGTCTTGTGGAAAATTATGCTTCCTCAGAAATTCGTCTGAATGTCACTCAACCAAAAATCCAATAGTGTTGCTTTGAAGTCACTTGGCTTCTTCCTAACTACAATATCAAGGGACATATAGGTGTCCATAAGAATACATAAATGTCTTCGATATTTCGAATTTATAAAACCGACGAGTGTTGACAAGAACGAAACCTGTTTTTAACTGTATAACCTGATCAACTGAACATCAAACGTAGTGAAATTAAAGAATTCTAAGAAAGAAATTGCATAATTTAGATTTAAGAACTGTTCACCCAGAATTTTTTTCAGAAGCTTCCTAAACAAAGACTGAAGTGAAGCTTTGATAAACTTCAGAAGCGAAAAATATGAGATTTGTTTGTAACAGCGAAATATACTATTTTTATTAATTCATTACGTTATAAACTGCAAATTGAGAGATATTTAGACGCCTTTTATGTCCTCAAGAGCAGTGTCCAAGAGAAATATCAATGGACAAAATAGACAGCAGAGTATTGTCTTAAAATATACACACAGTTGAAAATCAAAGATATGTGAATTTACGAAATAAAGTGAAAAACTTGAATTAAAGAAGTGGTCAGAGAATGACAACTGGTGAGGGTGTATCACAGTCAACGAAAAGCAGGAGGAGTTAATCCACTGGAACGTAAACGTGTTAAACAAAACAAATTGTAATGGGAATTAATAACTAACAATACTTAAGAGGCAACAAAGTCAAATGCGTACAAATAGTACTACTAGTCCATAATATGTAACTCAAGATGGAAGCATCTAAACCTAATCATAATTGATTGTAAAGCTCAATGGTGCATGTAGTAAATATACATAAACTGTTCTCTGCTCTTCACATGTGAGACCTAACACAGTGGACCAAAAGCGCCAGAAGATTGTTAGTTATTGTTTGTTAGCGTAAAGCGTTACTGGCATCATGAAAATCACAAGCTTGGCAGACTGATGGTTATGAGTATAACAAGATTATAGATGACTGTCTAGTAAATGATGTTAACAGAACTATCCTTAGCAAAGAATCCTAATACGTTCTGTGTACGTTAACTGATAATCCACCTCTAGAGTCATCGAGCATCTCTCACTTGCATTCCTAGCTGTAAAGTGCTTCAGCAAACACTTTATTATATGTATTAGGTAAAATGAGATCTACACCAACCCCAAGTGGCTTTACCCATACAATCTGTTGATCTGATCCGTGTAGGGAGATGCAAACTACCTGGCTGGGGTCCCCGAGACGACAGAAATCAGTGGTTACGAACTGATGATGAAATGGCTAAACGTCGATCACAATGGCGCAGTTGTTTCCCATTTTTTAACGTCTTCTAAAGCTTAAATTTTTTGCCTTTCATTTTTAAATCCCTTCTCCTCCCATGCACTTTCATCTAGTTTGATAACAGTCTTTTTCTATCCAGTTACTCTCTGTATGCTGTTGTGAAGTGTTTGAACTTGAAGTAATGCATTTGTGTGCAGGGTTCTACGTTGATTTTGTCTATCTGTCTATCTTAGCCTTAGAATCAATATACACAAATTGAACGGTTCACATTTTAAGTCGATAAGTGTTCTACTTTACAATAGCTTAGTCGGAAAAAAAGGTTTTTGAAATACGTCTTAGTTTTCAATAATTTTCTGATAAACGTTCACATGTGACGAATACAACCTTTAAGAAGGAGTTATTAACAAATCTGAAGAATATTTGATGGTACTATAAGTCTTCTGAAAATACATTGTCTTTACAAACATCATACTGTTATAAATCAACAACTGTACATTTATTTCTATAATATTTATAATAAGAACTCTTATCATTCAACAGTTTTCCGTTTTCACTATTTGTTGAATAAACCTATTGTGTACAAAACAACCAACAGTTAGTGTGTACAGTGATGAAGAAAAACATTTACAATGTCAAAATACTTACTAATGTTCTATCTTCACTTAGTGTAAATAAACGAGATCTTTTTGTTTCTGCTAGTGACCAGTATAAGAGATCAGTGATAGCACGGTAATGAGCACGAACACGTGCAACATACATCCATGGCTCACCGAATTCATGAATACCTGAACGTAACAGAGTTGTAGTGTATGCAGAGTCCTTTATGTTTCATTTTAAAAAGATAAACAATCACAATAAAATTAGTTTAATCGCCATAATTAGATCAGTTAATTAAAAGGAAATCAGATCTACTTTGCATATTGCAGCAATTCGATACTTTTGAGTTTCTAAGCAAAAATAGTTTCGTTTGGTTAATTTTGAAATAAGAAGTTGGGAAGACGTGCTACAGTTTACTGAAGTCTTATTCCTAACTTAAATACCTAAGTGAATGAATTAGTCACTGATATGGTTGGTATTGTTAATTTTGATATATGAATAAACAAGGTCATCCTGGTAAGTGTGAATGGCAAGTAATGCAGCAATTCAATTTTGACGTTTGTGGAGATTAACTTGTTGATTTTAGGTTGATACTCACCTTGGACTGACATCAGTTGGAGAAACTCTGGAAATCTGGAAGCACCGTAGTGTGGATTTCCTCAGCAGTACGCACCCAGAAGGTTCTGGGTTTGGTCCCTGGTGGGGTCATGGGTATGCACTCCTGAGAAATCCCACAACAGGCCTAAACAGCAGTTCAGTGCTCCTGTTTCCAAGGTTTCTGCAAGTGATATCAGTCCACGACGAATACCAACCTTATACAATAATTTTCAGACTTAAAACATCTAACTATCTGAAATAACAGTCGTTAATTAATAACCAATTCAGCAAAACGTTACTTGTTGTTCTATAATTAAACTAAGTTCACCTTTCTCCAGAATCGTCAGCGGTCCACGTGAACTTCCTTCGGTGACATCTCTTTGTTAGTGAAGAGATGTGGCTTATTGGTTGAAGCACTAGTCCTTCAAGTAATGACATCAGGTTTCAAAGTTCATTCAACCTACTTCAGACTTGGCAAAGGGGTCCATCTAAAAGAGTTACAAAATCTTAATTCCAAGTTAGCGACGCATTTGGGATTATGAATCAGAAAGGAACGAAGGGCGCAAAAACTTAAGTTGTAGGTCGGCAAACATTATAAAGTAATGTTTAACTTCCTTTCCTTGCTCCATGGATTAGACCTCATGTTAAAGGTTTACAAAGTGATATTCCTTAGCCATCACTTTCTTTAGTCTAGGAGTCAGGGTAGTATCTCAGTTGTCATACAAATCATAGAACAAAAATTGCATTGAAAAATGCAGTGTTAGTTCAACCCTCTTGAAAGCAGCCAAACATATTGCATAGTATACTTTATACTCAATCATACAGTTTATTACTTTACTGTTATTTTAATTTTCAGGTGATCATTCTCAGATGTTTTTGGTGGCTTTCTGTTACACTCAGCTTCTTGTCATTAATTCAAACATTTCACTGCTTTGAGAAGCTAAATGCTCATTTTTACAAAGCTACCCTCCCATGTAATGTGTAGCACAGATTTTCTGAAACCTTGCATACCGTTTAGGCTTACTGTCATCAATGTTTAAACTTTGATGCAGGTCAGATAACGAAAAAATTGAGCTAAGATTATAGAGAGCCTCCACATTGTTTTATGCTGTATCTCAGAAACCCACGAACAAGATTCCAGTGCAGCGCCAGATCAAACCTTTCTATCTGTTTTCTTGTAGAACACGTTTAATATGAACTCATCATGAGAGGCTATTACATAAACATCTGCACCTCCTCGTATCCATTGCGAAAGAATCCAAGTCGTACTAGTCATTTAAATTTCAGTTAGAAGCGATTAATTCTTTGCGACGTTAGAAAGTTTAGTTGTTGGAAGAAATAAGTGATGAAAGGAAAAATTTCTGTCACCATCCCTGCCTATACTGTTATAAAACACAGTCCAGTTAAAGACATCAGCATTGTACTACCTTGCGTCATCCCTTTGTTATTCAAACTTGAACTGAAATAGGCCATATTATAGCTCTAATATTGGCAGGGCTGCTGTCTCTTTCGGAGTAATTATTTAGACCTCGATTACGCTTTACTTTATGCTAAGTTCATTTTACGTTTTGAGGATCATTCCTGAAGAGATCAATGCTGTATCTATTATTTCAACTGAATATCAAATCCAATCACATCCTAAGGTAGCCACCGTTCCTTCGAAAATTGTATATAAGCATTGATTGGGCCAGCAAGACATTATGGAAATGATCAGCAGAGTTAGTTATAACCCCCCACTAACAAACGCTTAATTTATGCTAGTTTCTTGGAATTTGTTTACGCTTACAAGTCTATTTTAGCGCACAACTAGCATAATGGGTTGTGTAATTAGCTTACGACGAAATCAACGCACTATTTATGTTATCAGCATCATGGAGGTTGATTTTCAGGACGTATGCATGGGCTAGAAGTAGCAGCTATATATGTCAGTAACTAAAGGTTGCTTCAGAAAACTCAAGCCAGGAAAGTGGTAGCTCAATGCTTCAAGGGTATTGAGCAAAACTGCAGCCCCAGTTTTCGGAATACCTCTTCCAGAGATTAGTTTTCTGAAGTCGTTCTTCAGTGAGCAGCTTCTAGATTTAGCTCGTGTGAAAAGGATCATTTTTGGATGTGGCACAAAGGGGTCGATAAATAATATTCCAGGTAAAATTATTCAGTGGGACATGACTATAAGCAAAGAATTAGGCACGAAACGCCAGGCAGTTATTAATATTGTATTACCATGTCCCACATGAAATAGGCAGTTCTAACATCAAATAACATAGACTGTATTGCTTTTGTGGTCATGTAATGATTATACAACTACCCGTTGGTAGTGTCATATTACAACAGTATCACTGATTACTAAAAATGCTACCAAGCGATATGAATTGCTTTAATGCTCTACGGTGATCAGTTGGTTTCACTACCCAGATATAAATAATCCAAGCTATCAGTTACTTACTTTTTTGATTACTAATGGAAGAAAACTTATGTTCAACAAAACTGTTCATTTGGCTATTCAAATCATAGTCAAGTCTATTTGAGCTTAGTCGTATGAATATATGAATGTGTGAACATGTAAAGAGAGGTAGAAAGAAATTATATATTATGATCATTAGAAATGATGATGTAACTTTAAAAGGAAGTCATATTATATCCACATTTTCCAAGACTTACGGCGAAAGCACAGTAAAGATGGCAGTAGGAGAAATCAATATGCGTTATTGGACCTTTGCCATAAGTAAATGGTTCCGATGTCACCTCATTTAACGTCAATGCATCTAAGATGCGCAAATGCCCACTGACAAAGCCAATGGCTGGGGAAGTAAATACAAAAAATACACTTGATAACGAAAAAATATCTTTGGAAAAATTACATTCAACTTTGTTGATAGACTGTTAGTTTAAAACCTAACTCCAAAATACAGCACACCACAGTGTTGTGTTCCTTAGCTAAGTCACCACATTACAAACTTGATCGACAAATTCTGTTCAGCGTTCAGGATTAGATAGTTACATGAGTTACCAGACGATGATTCATTCAGTGATATCGTTTAATTCCACAGATGTCAGCTGTATCCTGAATACCTTCACCTCATTACTCAGTGGCATTAGTTTTTTTCTCTGAGAGAATATTAGCCTCTGCAAAGTTACAGATGTGGATGAAACCTCACCCAAGCAGGACTTCCTTCTGAGAGACTTCTAGTAATTAAGTATGAGTAGACTTTTACACTGGAAACAATATTTGCAAAGATAGACCTCATATTTAAGTTGAATTTTTATATCACAATGAAAAGTAAACAGTCACCTATATCATAGGCGTCATTGAGGGAGTAATTGATAGGAACTTAATGTTCCTGATTCTCACCTCAAATTGAAAGCAAGAAGGAAGAAGAAGGTTTATCAGTGGGATTAATTTATTGTATTGCGTTGCATTCTAATAACCGCATACTAGTGTACTTGATATGTTTACTTATTACGTCATCTTCAAATGCATTCATCATTTCATATGCGTATGTCTATTTATGCGCATTGTAAGGACATAGAGAATAGCTGCTGAGTCCATTGTCAAAAATATTTCAAAGAAACTCTTCCTAAGAGATTTCAGTGGTATGCCATTTTACTGATAGGTAAACACAATTCATAAGTTGCAGATATATTTAAAACGATTATTAGTCATTAGAACATCAACTTTACTTGATAGAGGCCACAGTAATTAGTATACTAAGACACGACCTTCACATGTAGAATGAATCAACAGTAACTTAAAACCACATTAGTGACCATCATGATAACCCAATACTTCCCTTTACTTTTTGTGATGCTTTTAGTTTCAATTTATGGAATTTAATTCATTTTCGTCTTTTTTAATACATGTATCTTCAAAATCACTTCCCATCTATATTGCGTAATCAATCAATTGTAATATTCCAGAATTGTTAGTTAAATTGTTCAAATAAATCTATCCATAAAAATGTACCTTCCTATACTAGCTTACTTCTCAACTTTTGAGTATATAAATGCATATTTAATTACTGGACCTTGTTAACCTGCATGTACTTGACTAGAATGCAATAAAATCCAGTTAACTTGTTGCATCTTGCGAACTTATTCATTTTTCTAAAGATATCACAACTTGAATCTGACCTAATAAGTTGTTTCATTTAGGGAAAATTTCTGTAAAGTGGAAACGTATACTTCATACGTTTTGTGATTCTGTACAAATCACTTAGTAAGGGAATAAAATTTGCACCGAATATTAACTCTTTAAATAGTAGATAGGATAAATCAGATTAAATTCCTCATGCGTACATGCAGAAAACAAAATGTCAATAAAAGTTATCTTCTGTGATTATTAATCCATGAGTTCAGAATGGTGACGTGAACAAAAAGATTAACCTAAGTGTTGTACCAACTCCGACCGTATATCCCAAAAAACATATAATGCATATTAAAAATTAGTTGGTACACTTTAAAATTACATATGCATACAAACAGAATTTTCAAGTCCTATTCGTTTTCCCTTATTCATTTATAACCACTTACATATGCGTACACCTTGCTAATAAGTCATAACGTAATGTGATTAGTACCACTTACTATTTCAGTCGCCGATAAAATGTACAAATTTTATCCTCTGAAGAAGTAGCCTCCTTAAGGTTGTGAAACAACAGAAATTTACTTCTGAACGCCGTTTGGATCGTACAAATATATTTCTGTCATCTGTTCATCATCACTTTATACTAAGAAATCACGCTAAATTATATAGTTTCGCTTGTGGAATTATATACAATTGATTTCTCAGCAGTTCTGATGAATGAATATCTGTAATTTTGAGAATATAACATCCTAGAACAGATATTTACGATTACAAGCACACTCTACTATTTCACTTCTGTAGCTCATCGAAGAAAATTAATGTTATTGGCATATATTTATAGGAATACACTGACTGATATTCAGCTTACTTTATGCTATTCACTAGAGTTTACAAAAACTGTTCATTGTTATCGCTTAGTAACTTTCTCTCATCAACCCCCAATCATTCAAGGCTGTATGTACAAACTTGCATGAACGCATAATACTCGTGACATTTAAGCCAATGCTATTCAACTCTTAAGTCAAAGCACTTATCATCTTATGTTCAATTTCATTTCAATACAATTCAGTATTGTAAGTCTATGGGAACATAATTCCAGTTTGAAGATAATATATGTCAATGTTCTGAATAAGTCAGTATGTATTAACAGTAATAAAATGCACATTTTGAGTTATTATAATGAATAAAATCATGTTAATACTAATTACTCCTAGATAAAAGAATAGAATATCAAGTATGAAATGATTTTTTATTTTATAAGAGACACAGTGTAAAACTTTAGTATATTTCACCAACCAATATACTGTCCGGTTTTATCATATGCACATGTTTGAATTGGATTACTAGTGCCAAAACTTTTCAAACTGATAGGCATTCTGCAAGAGAAAAGAAGAGAGTAAACTTGTAGGTTTTATAATCGTCCATAAGATATAATGTCATTACAGCTTTAAATATCTCATTGAGTTGCTTTTAAGAAAGAGGGAAGTCATCGCTTTTCGGTCAATCAGTATCCCGCATAAATGTCTTCATATTGCTTTTAACTGTATCCAATTAATCCTTAAATATAGTCAGCAATGAAACTGAAGATCAACTCTTCGTCCAGTGCGAATTAATATCTAATAAGACGAAAACACGATGATAGTACATTTGCTATTCTTGTTTAACACCGACAGCGTTTCATGCTGCACATGTAGAAAATTAAGTTGCACAGAGGTGCTATTATCTGCATGACCTAATCAGCTAGTATCAAAGGTAATCATGAAAGCTGGACTTATCCAGTTCCCCAGGTTGACCAAACATCATCGACCGTAAGGATAGATTCTAGTTAGGCGCACTTGCATGGAAAAGGTGTGCATGATAGACCACATTCTCTTGCTAATGGAGAAGGCTCCGAAGTCCCGGACATCTACTCTTACCTCTTTAGCAGGGGTAACAGCGAGTGTCTGGCCTGGCTTATCTCGCTAAGACCGGGCGTGCATCACACTCACTCACCGCGGTTAGACCGCGTCACCCAGGCATTTCAGCTATTACTCTCTGCTTGGTTAACAGACAATTAGCCAAGTTCAAGAGTCAGTTGGCAACTGCTTCCGAAGACCCCACCCCCCAGTCAGGGAGGGATGATACAAGCTTCATTGCTTAGAGCGTTCGGTGGGGGCCCATGGTGCAGATACCAGTTCAACTGAATATTAGCTTACAGTTAAGTCAAAAACAGTTACAACCGAAAAACCATCTGAGATAACAGTAACTATTTCGAAAATGAAACAGAAAATAATTTATCCCTAAAATGGCAATACTACCCAGTGCTATGAATTTGACTTCTGTCGTAAACTTGTAAATCTTATTGACAGAAAGTATCATGAAATTTAGGGACAGTTTTAAATATATGGCGTAGAGTTAAAAGCTAGAGATAATCACTGTAAACGAAAAAGTTCTGACACAATAAACTACAAATAATCCATCTTAAGAATAAACTTACTTGGTTTCATAATCGTACACTTTTACTAAACCAGAATAGCTACATGAAGCAACATGATTCCTTAAAAAATAAAAATAAAACATGCTTAGAAGAAACGGGTATCCTAGATTGATAACATGCTGAACATAATATCGTAACGAGTTTTGAAGAAATAAGATTCAATTTCCTTGAAAATTTCTAATCATTGCTGTGCACGGTTGGTAAGCAAGAATTGTTGAAGGTCATATTTAAACTCATTCGCATCCAAATGGAGCAATGATGACCTAGGCAAATGGAAAGAAGTCATTCAAGCTTAGGAGGATGGTGATTAAAGTTTGGTACATTATAACTTGATGTGAACATTTTCGGGATTGCGAACTAAATGTACAGCAGCCTTGTGTCAATTCATAAAAATTTATTAGCCGCTTACTTTAATTTTTGATATCCCTGACTGACTGTTTATCTTCTAATGTGCAGTTTACAGTTACGTTATCGTACTAAAACTTTGTACATCTATTCTTATCTGAATCTTTGGACATACAAAAGCAGTTGGCCGACCATCAGTTCCGTGAGTTGATATTTGTTTAGTTGACCTTTGGGACAGTGTTTATTCGATTGTGGTCAGTCAGTAGTATCAAACTCTTATATATATTTTCGAGTATCAGATAGTTGAACATCATTCCAACATTTCAGATCACGCATAGACAATTAATATGATAAAATGCAAATGTCAAGCAACTTAATAAGATCACTGAGAAAACAGAGAGTTGATTATGTGCACTGGCAAGTGTAAAACTCAACAACGCAGCAAGCACATGACTGAAGTTAAATAATACAAATCGAACTTAGATTTCAGCTAGGATGATTTTTATTACAAATGCAGTGCCTCCCACTAACATCAACCTTATTCCAGGGAAATCACCATATAATTTGACCGTATGTTAAGCGAAAGAATCTCATAATTTGCGCACTTAAATTATAGGTGAACGTTTATATTCCAGGGGAAATAGATAGGAACTAGTCAAAAGAAAGAGATGACTAACTAGTGACCAAACTAAGCAGAATGTGCTTTAGTGGTGACGGTGTATGATGTACATTTAAGCATTCATATCCGCAGTCTTTATTCAACTCTGTCTCTATTCACACTATCATTCAGAAAGACTGTTTTTCGGAATCAAGGTTAGTTGATAGTATGAGTAACAATGAATCACTAAACCTGATTAGAGTCTACCGTACAAAAACGAACTCAATGTGATTTTCTATGCTTTGAATACAGGTATCCAATAGACAGATTCTGGCTTTTTTGTTAAAAAATTAACTGACAAAGCTTTAGAAATTTGTTTACCAGTCAAACAAATAACCACTTTCACTTACAGTATTGGATGAGCGGTTATCCCGTTAATATGTGAATCATGATCTCTTATAATCAACTAAAATCAAGCAAAGAAACCATAAAACCGGTTTACACAGTTCATTATATAACAAATAATATTCATCATTCAGGTAAATCAAGGTTCAAGGATACATCACTTGCTAGATTATATGCATACTACGATAAAAGCAATTACTTCACTGGGCATTTAGTTTGTACAACGGAGAAGTTTATTCGTTGATTATTGCAGCACATCTAAACTAACTTTGAAGGTAGGCAGAGTAGGAAGACAGACACACACAAGACTAGTGTTAATGTAGCCCTACATCACGTCATAAGCATAAATACTGAGGAGCGTAGGTGATGAAAACAATTCAAGTGAAAAATGTACAAACACAATATTTCGATTTCTTCTGTGCTAAAGTAGTATTTATTTTTGCACAATACAGGGTAGTCGGGCAAAACCCTTGGTGAATGAAGTGAAATAAAAATCAGGTCAGCAGTCGGCCCTCTCAGCTCAGTTAGTAGAGTACCTGGCCGAAACCCGGTGGTCGCTGGTTTTCGAATCCGGCCGACGTTCAAATTTTCATTTCACTTTCAATCATCATTCGGTAACAATATAACAGTAAAAATTTATGTGATGATCTGTGACTGTTCAGACAGACATTTGATGTATGCATGTATGATATTTGATCAAGTCATGAATAGTACCTCCATGTGAAACAATATTCTCACTGGCAATTTTTGTCTCATGCTACTATAACTAATACTATGATCCTACTGGCTATGTTTCAAATTCAACTGAGCCTAGACTACTACGACTATGTGTCTATAAATTCAGATATTCAGTATTATGTGGCTAAGTTTCCGTGAACTGTTTCGAGGAACTGTTGCATTTACAATCCTTGTTTTTGCTCAATCATTCTGAAGTACGAATTCTAGTGAACACAGTGCAGATTAATTCAATTCATAATTCACTTCCGTTAATAGTATATTTGGCTTCATGAGTAAGAGAACAAAAGTGACAACTGAGGTCAAAACACTCGAAATCGAAATCGAAATAGCATAGTTACTGGTACCGCGAAATGCACATGAACGGAAATGACAGGAGTCCAGCCTTTTTGATTTGTTTGAATAAATATTGTGATTCCATTCTGAGGAGCTTATAATATCCTAAATGTCTCGATTCCAGACCATATAATAAAATAAAATGCCAAATACTACAGCCTCAATAATTACCGACTACATCACTGCAATATATGGTTAGTAAGCCAGCTTCAAAGTGGTAACTGACATTATTGCGCAACGTTACAGGTTGCCATACCTCATACTTATGCATTAGGGTAGGAGGAACAAAAACGAATGGTAGAGGAGTAGAGAAGAAAGTAAATAAAATTAATTGAAAGTTGTAAAGTGCGAACAAGAAAGAATACAACAACACTAGAATTCGGTATGACAGTTATGGTGAAGATAATATGTAAACGCATCTGTGTCACTAAATTCGATTTCGAAACATATTACCAAGAGACATCAACTACCGATTTCGGTTGTCACGCGGACATCAATTTGAGAGGTCTACACTTCCATACACGGCTCAGATAAGATGCAGTATTCTGAGCACCTTGAATGAAAATTCGATAATGTTTCAAATGCGTTTCTCACCACTGAAATTCAAAATGTTGCTCTGGGATTGGTTTGTGTTGGCGTCTCTTTTAGTGATTCAGCGAGAAGTAATTGAGCACGTTTACTAATTCATCTGCTTAAAAGTTTAGATTAACCCTGATGCGACTGTTAGCAACGAAATATCTGCTCGGTCTTCGTTAATCTACGTTAATTATATCACCGGTGTGATATCCAACTGCCTATCAAGCATCTAGTGTGCTGAGCATAGGTTTGCTCCGAAACGGGGTCACTAAAGAAAGGTAGAGGACATGAGAAAGCTTCAGGTATTTGATTACTGTTAAAGGTTTTGGATTTATGTGTGGTTTTATCGAACACTTTACAGATCCACCTACTTTCCTAACAAACTTGATATTTCAACTTGGTAAGGTTTACTGACATTAAAAGTTTCCCACAAGAACACAGAAAAGAAGAGTGAAACATAACAAATATTCCTAAACTAATAAATTCTACGTTAAGCTTAATTCTAAGTTCGATATAAATCAACAATTGGATTAACTTTCAGTGTTCATTAGTGATATGGTTCCATATAAATTCCCCGAAGGTATAATGAGAAATTGTGACCTTTGGTGTCAATCAAGTGAAAAGTGAAGCAGATCCCTACTGATGATATTTTATGATGGACGTGCTTTATCGAGAATTGACAAATGTAGAAAAGTATTGAACTACTGGATTCAAAGCCATACTTGCGGCCAAACCTGGTAATTTGAGGCTCGATCCATTACAAGTTAATAAGGCCACACTGTTGAGGAATGCAAAAAAGAAAAACCAGCTGTTCAGTGTTCCTAAGTTTTCAATGTTTCTTCAACTGATTTCAATCCATCATGAAAACTACTTACTTACTACTGTTTACTATAAGTGAAACAGGAAGGTAAATTGTTATATTTAACAGAATTCTCAGTTCAAAATAATTCAGTTCCCCCAGAGTGTCAAAGATTTAATCATAATATTAATAACAGTATAGTTATCAAAACAACAAACCTTTCGAAATCCACCTTCAACTGTAACTGAAATCATAACAGCATTCGACGTACTCACTATAAAGTCTTCTACTACAAACGGTTCACCATCGATTGTTGCACAACTAGGATAGTCTCTTTGTTTTACAGATGCTGTACACCTTGATTTTTTAAAAGAAAATAATTACTGAAAGTATGAAGAGAATTTCGGAATAAATACTAATGGGCAGAATCAATATAACGGTGACAAAACATTAGGATTATTGTCACTAAGCAAAATGTTTGGCACATGTGTCATATATGATAACATATTTTTTAAAAATCAGTAGAAACTAGATTTGAAATACTATACTGAATAAAAGTCTTACTTTCATGAACATAATAGTGTATAACTATTAACTTTGCGCAAAAAAATGATTTCTACTGAAGCCGTAATGAAATGACCAACCATATATCAGAAAAATTCTACTAACCCAGCTCAGAAAACACAATACAACCAAGTTTAGTTTACACTTCACGAATGTGATTTCGCTTCAAACCATATAATACAGTGAGTCAGTGTGATGGATATCTCTCATGACCTTGCTTGCTTGTTAATTCAATTTGACGGTCAGCATAAATCTTCTTACTGCGAATATATATAACGAGGTTAATGGGGATGAATGGGACTCTCAAGCAGTCAGCATATACGAGTTCGTCCTGTTCGAGGTCGAACCGAGGACCTTTGTATTTCACGGTGAATACGTTAACCATTCAGTCACTGGGTCGCAGTTTAATGATCCACAGTTCCCTACTACTGTCAATTCGAGATAAAGCACGATTATAACCCAGAGTGCGGATTCCTAGCCTTCAGTCACATGGAACATTTTAATGAATACGATGTGAGCAAACTTTACGTTGAGAATACTTTGAATAGTGCAAAAGATACCCTAGGAGTTAAAGTGAGTGAAGTCAATGAACCAATTACTCATCGATACACGCCCTCAACTCTGTTACTTATGTTTCACCTTTCCGGTTATCTCGCACTATTTATATCTTGCATCAAACATACAATGTAGAAGGAGCCTTAATGTTTCGCAGTATCGGGAATAAATTTCTCTTCAAGTTACAACGTGAACTCAGCACGTAACAAAGGCTGTATACACAGTATGAGGCAGTATTAAGTCAAGAAAATATGTAAATATATGAGGAAATCTGGCGTAGAGAAGACTATACCTGTGAAAGTTTAAAAGAAGAAAACTCCATGCATGAACCACTGAAATTTTTTGTGCAATGCAAGATATTAACATCAAGTATTTGAGCAAGTACATCACGCGTCTTGACGGTAGGCATATGGTTACAACTAAATATCCATTAAAATAGCTTTGCCCTCACTATATGATTGTAAATGGAGATAATTTTTTGGAACAATGTACGGGTTATGAGCCAGTCAGTATCACCAGCATGCAATATCATCCATACTTTCCAGCGTTTTTCTATACAGCATACCAAGCAACTAGACAACGTCGTTCCTTAGGCAGAGATGGCTTACATGAGTCAGCACCATAAGGTTTTTCTAATGACCAGCTACCACTCTGCATGTTTTCGGATATTATTCGATGAGATAACGAGGAAGATTAAACTTTCGGTGTCACAGAAAGACACTTGATTCTTGGAGTTATTGCATCTTATCTTCACAAATAGGTTAGACACTAAAGCTAAACAGAAGATAAGTAAGTTTGCGTTAAGTGCTTCTAACCTGAGCTCATCTAAGCCTCAATGTTAAAGATGATCGAATGATAACCAGATATTAACTTACCGTAACCCAAGAAAAAAATCAAACTTTTGTTATTGATTTATTAGTATATATTTAGAAAATGGATTTTATATTCACCTCTAACAACTGACTGCAATCTGAGATCGGTTACCAAATTGTCGAATATAACAGAACAATTACAGAAATATCTTCATTTACTTTCTACTGACAGGAAATTACCAGTTCAGTCACTGTTTAACTAACTGGTATGCTGAAACATGTCAGTGGCTGAAAAACGTTTCTGTTAACTAGCCTGTTTATGAATAATTTGTATGAGATCTGTGGTTATAATCTTTCCGGCTCCACATAGTTATCATTCGGCTGAGCTCGGTATCTGTAAATGACCTTTGATCATTAAATCTTTAACTTAAATATAAGTCAGACTATTTCCTACAACCATGAACACGTAAGCACGACACGTACTCTGTCCTGTTTAGCCCGCACATGCACGATCAGTTTAACTTAACTTTTAACTAAAAGCAGAGTATTCTATTAATCAGGTTTAGCATTACCATTTCAGTTGTAGAAAAGTCATAGCATTACTTACTTAGCAATACTGGTTTTGTGCCAAGTCACGGCACAGAATCAAGAAATACACATTTTTAGAATGAGACTATAGTCAGAAGTTGCAACCAAATTGTATTGAACCAGGGGCAAATATGTGTTACGATATTGTATTGCTAATCAAATGGAGCGACAAGATATTAATTCTTTTCAAATAAAGGTTGGTATTCCTTTTACTGAATCTAATTCTCTTACTTTCCAGCTCATCACAAAACAATAGAGTTGACTTCCAGACACCTTTAAAATATAACTGCTCAGTACACTTGGCTTGCAATAACATTTCCAGTAGTTTCAATTTGTAAAGAAAAGCATCTCTTAAAAATGAACATTTTTTTAGTTGAGAAATAAAAGCAAGTAAAGGTTGAACAAACTCCAGTTTCTAGTCATCAAGATAACTTTATCTTAATCACAAGAATCAACAGAGTTTAATAGAAAACGAACAAAAATAAAAACCAAAACACTAATTACCGATAACTGTGAATATCTCTGTGAAAAGAAATGTTAAAATGCTTGTTGAAAAAGTGTTTTGTTAAGTTATTGAATGACACATTTTGATAAATTCTTTGTATGGACTATCAAAATAATTTATCTTTCTATACAGTGTTTGGAAGGTTAAGACAGATAGTTGTCTTAAAACACTACACATCTTTCAACCTTGAAGCAGCAAAATATGATCTCGTATAGAGACAGAGATTTTCGATTACATTTCGCGTCATGCAGATAAATTGGATCACCTGTCACTGGTAATCAGTTTACCTTACACATCTAATTGAAATACTCACTAAAGAACTAAATTCTGCTACTTTTGGGATCAATCATTTTCACTGGAATGATTCTTGTCAAAGTCTTTGTCTTCATTTATCCTGAAACTGTTATCCCACGAATCCAAAACTTTTTGCAAAAAAACCATTGAGCAATATTAAAAACAATCTCGTATTATATTCCCTTCATTTTAAGAAATCCATATCGTGTCAAATTAATAAATCTATTACTTACTCATTGAAAAGGCTAGTTTTAGCAAAGCTAACACAGTTGATTGGTCCAAATTTAAGATCTTGATACCAGAATAAAAGCATGAAATTACAATCGAAGAATTTCACTTGCCCGCTAATATCGCCAGTCACAATACACTTTCCACATGGATAGCTAAAATACGTAAATGATTTCGATTATAAATGTATAAAATCTAGCTGTAACTATTCTAGTTATCACGAGTATCGATTGAAAAGTTAGTAAAATTAATTTAATATCTTAATAGTCCCACGTGTTAATTACTTGGAGACAGATTTTACAACCAATACTTTAAATGGTATGAGTTCTTTTTCGAATCGACAAAAGTTGATGGTCCCTTCCTATGGTAAAGTCTAAGTATAGAGCGTTAATATCAAATTATTACCAATAAATGTACATGAGTTATCATTACTGTTGTTGGAGTACAAATTCCCAAAGAAATAAATAGAAGTGTGTTACATTTCCTGCGAATGGTTTAAAAGTAAGGATGTAAGTTTGAAGTTTTATTAGACAAATCATTGTAACAGAGGTGTTATTAGCGTACTTAAAAGGGATATGTCACCGATACTGCTGAATACTCATTTGACTTCTAGTTGGTTTAGCTGTTTTATCAGAAATAGTGACGTTTTTCTCACTGTAATAAAGCTACATTTCTTGATTATTATAATCGAGATAAGGGCAAACAACAGATATTCAGTGAAGAGGACTCTTTTCAGTGAATTTATTCTCAAGCTGTACATTGGTGTATACATATTATATTTAAAGGCTGAAATCCATGAGGAAAATTAAATTTAAACAATAAGGGACTGAAAAGAACAATAATGACAGTTATAATTACAATAATGTTGTTAGTTGGTGGCGTAGAGGTTGAATGCTAGCAGAAAAGGATTACGTCTTGTTTTCCCATTGATTAATAGTGGATGAAATAAGTGTTAGAGTTAATAAACAAACAAAGGATTTGGTAATACAAATGAAACAAACTTTGTTTAAAGTTTCAATCATTGGAAAGATTACATTCAGTAACACTGGGAATTATTAAATATTCAAATAATGCCAATAATTATAAAAGAGTCCAAAGATTAGGTAAACAAAAGGGAGATGTCGTAACCACGAAACGAAACAAACTAAGAGAAAGCGAAGTTAAGGTCAATGTAAAGACAAAGACTGTACGTACTTCTGCTTACACAAGTTAGGCTTCTATTCATGAATACCCAATGTCTCCACGGTTTTTAGAAGTTGAAAAAGAAGGGAATGTGAAATATTGTAATGAATTCAATAGATAATCTTAAAATCATTGTTTGGATAAGTTTAATGGTTGGGACCAGTTATATGTCTAAGTACAGAACTTCTAATGCATTTTCTTTTATCATTACAAAACCAGGCTGGAATACGTTTCCGTAGATGTGTTGGATTCAATGTCTGACTGCGGCCGATGTACCCTGCTCCACAAGTGTAGGTGAACTGGTAAGTACACTAGGAGGAAAAGACAAAGTAGCGTCACGAAGTCGATTTCCTTTTATTATACGGAATTGTAAGCCTCTATGATAAGTAATCTGTAATCTATGGAACAAGCTGTAAATCATACGGTTATTTTCCAGATTTTACAAAAAGCAGAAAACCTTAGTCTCCTAGGCAATCACGTTTTCATTTTCGGATAAATTTCTAGGCGCTTACGTCACTATGCAACTTATCTCAGTATTTCAGAAAGCTACATGTTCAGCAATGATGCAAAAACCAAGGAAACAAAGATCCACAATGACAATGTTTACTCTTTTGAAAAAAGTCAAAAATTATTCATGACGCCTGGATATATTTACACAGGTCCCTACCCTATCTTTGGAAGTAGACATTCACATGTCTAAATTAATGCTAGTCAGTAATAAGATTTACAAAAGAAGAGTCAAGAAACCACTAACCATGGTGTATTAAAAGGTAAGGAAATGTTAAAATTAGGTGCATGAAAATGCAATCATTTCTAAAGGAGTTTTTGCAGTTTCTTAAAAGGCACTGAATAAAACACAGTCAAGGATAAGGAGGTAAATCAGATTTAGGAATTAAGAAGTTGTGAGTGAATCAAACCCATATTTTCGATACCAGACATTTAAAATACGGTAGCACGCACTACACAACCCTACATCGTAGTATGGTATACCAGAATATAATGAGAATCAAGTGTTCATACTTTTGTTGTGTGGTTCACATACCTCATAGTTCATATTTGCATCACCTACTATGAAATTCAGGTCTTGGGAGAAAACATTATTTCCCAGAAAAGCTAATGCATGACAAGTTCACTCAATAGTGAAATGAATACGAAAAATGGGTTCACTAAAAATCAAGTTATCTAATATCATTTTGGCTGTCTTCTGAATGCTATGAAGGATACTACAAATTTCGTGTTTTTATTCAGTTGCCCTAGTGGTTAATAAACCCGTACGTTCTTGTCGCCTTCTGTGTCGATTATTAGACATCATATGTACAGAAGGGGATCACGTAGCATACCTGACCTATCATGACAACATGGTTCCTGGTCCATAAAATATGTTTCTACTAAAAACTGTAGGAGATATAATACAAATCGGCATTTGTAGTTGTAGACCACTCATGCATATCAGTAGTGCTCACTCGTCAGAATTAAGTAATCTAAGCATAAGGTGACTATTTCATTCGTCCAGAACTAACCTTTATGATCAAACAGTCGCATTAATTCAACTCAGACCCTCACATCACCCAAGTTACCACGAATTTTGTCAAATATTTTTTCGCACTACTGGTACTCAGTAACATATAAGGTTTTGATAAGCCGGTTAGGATAGGGAGAGCTGCAAAATTTAAAGTTAGCTTTCTTTGAAAGCCGGAGGAAGAGGGTGTATATTTTTATTTTGTGTGACTTTAATACTTGCAGTACTGCAAACACCTTTGACATCAAATCGATTACATATTGTAGAGTGTAACTATTCAGTCTTATTCCACCTGAGTCATTCGTTATCAATAGAGACTATATAGCTAGTGGACATTGGGTTTTAGTGTTTCCCTCCTCCAGCTTAAATAACAATGAACATAGAAAACAACAAGTAGTGAAGATCCAAAGAATACACAGCACTTCAACGATGAACAGTGGATCACGGAATAAATTTCAGCCAGGATCTTCAGATAGTACAATTACTCGTCAATGGTTTCGTCCTAGAATCCCGATGCATTTCACCCCATCAGACACCTACGCACTAGGTAGTAAGCTACACCTTTTGTGTACGGGCTTTTTATGCCACATAACTACCTAAACTGAATTCCAGGGAGGATTGAAAACAGCCTAGTGCTAACAGTCTAAGGCCTAAATCAGTAGGACACATTTTTTTCAACTGACTTCAAATAAGGCTGGTTTTGAGGTGAAATTTGGAATTAACCCATTTCTCATGCACCTTCTCACAGCAAAACACCTAGAGAAGTTATTCTAAGTCTGTAATATTGGCCCATTCATAAGCGGCTAATAGACGTCTGATGACAGCTTCCGTCATGTACATGAAGAAAGATATTAAAGAATTTAAAATGCTAGTCAAGCTGAAACACATACAAAATAGACAAAACTCGACCGTCCGCATAAACGAACACCATTCAAAATACAAACAGTTAGTAGTGGAATGCCAGAAAACAAATCAAAAAGCGGCTTTCGAAATGTTAAGAAAGCAAAGCCCCAGCAGCTGAGTGTAGACGGGGAACATTTCGGAGGAAGTAAATCTTGGATAGCTGTAACAGAATATCAAAACTTTGAATCTAATTCCATATTACAGAAAATGTAGGTCCTATCAGCCAGAGTAACATTAGTTTGAATTATGTCCAATTAGAAATTTTGTTCTGGTCTCTTTTTGGTTGGAAAGTAATTATGACTAACGTTGCATGTACTGATTGTACCAACAAACATGCTTATCTCCTAGATATCTCCATTATCCAGTCCTCAGCATAGGTTGTGATAATCCAGTAAGAGTTATAAGGGATTTGGTGACATCTTAGAATGGTCTAACCACACATGCTTTCTAATGCTTCCGTTACTCATATATGGATTAAACATTCAACATAAAATTGTTCAGTGGGCATTAAGTTTATCGATCCTTAAAATGAAATTCTACATAAAGCTATATTTCTGAATCAGTCAGGTACAAACCAAAAGATAAAAAAATGACTTACCATGTTGTGACCGTTAGGAATGTGACTCCTTTATCATGCAATGGCAAAACCTTTGTAGCTCTCTTATATGGCGTTTCTGAATTATCCCCTAATAAGAGACAATAATATACGTACAGTTATTTTGACACAATTCCACTCAAATGACTAGCATATTTATAAAAAAATGAACAGAACACAACTTTACATTGGTGAGCTGATAATCGCTTACAGACTTCGAAGTATGCATGACTTGAATGAGTGTTCTGCCCAATCTCAGCGCAGCCTAACATTATATGCTTCGACATTTATTGCCGATACTCAGTAATCATCTGGTATAAGGAAATCTGTCTCACAGCTGAATGATAAATTGTGGTTTCTGAAAAATCTTACTTCACTTCAATGGATTTGTTCAACAAATTTAACACAGAAAACAGCCCAGGCTAAGGATGAGTTCAAGATAACTGCGAATGTTAAGAAAAAAGATAGGGTGCACTTCCGTAGTCCAAGAAATCTGAAAATTCGAACTTCACCCCGAAAGTGCTTCATTTTTTTATGCAACTGCAGTATCAAAAGACGTAATGAAACAGACACTTCATTTCCAGAACCGATAATGTTGACCAACCTCCTGGGAACTCTATCCAGCTCTGGGTTGTTACAAAGAAAACAAAATTAAAATGATAGAAAAAACCAACAAAATGAAACTGTGGAGTAAAACTGTACTTTTCAATTGATACTGGTAAGTCCCAGTTAACTCATCACACGTATAAGCTAATTTTGAGGAAAAGAGGATAAATAATTAAGAAACGAATTTAAAGTCATATTCATTCAAAAATCAATACATTTGTCAACTGACAACGAAAGACAACCACATTCCCACATTACTGATGTAAGAGAAGGATGGATTTCTTCGAGGAAGCGTTATAAGATTCGTACATCCTGGATAACTCTTCTTTTCACTTCTTCTGTGGAAACTTAATCAGTCAAATCATAAAATGTATCCAAATGGAATAGGGATGTTTCGCAGACTAGTATGAAAACCGACACACAACTGATAACCTGTACTCGTTGTTGAAAAGGTTTGGGTTAAATTTCGCCAAATTCTGAGTGGGCGCAACATTTATGTTTCGTATACATCGGCTTTAAAGGAATTTTAGGGAGAATGAGAGTTCTAAGAGTCATCATTACAAAGCAGCGTCAACTAAAGAAGCACTAAAACCCATTATGGATCATTCAACTCATTTTGAAACTCCTAAACAATGCATAACCGTGATCTTGCATGTTCGGTCAAAACCAGAAACTTTATGTATCACAATAAGCCCACCATCATTCAGTGAGTTTTCTGGAGTCCAAAAACATAAACTCTTCGGGTTCAGTCAGCTTACTGAATGATACAAATACCACAAATTTCTGCTACCAGATAGCCACCTATGCTCTCAACAACACAAAAGTTGTTAGAGTTCCACTCCTGTTTTCATATAACCCACTCTGCTGAAAGCTGTCATACAATGGAATATCATCTTCCACTTATTTTGCAGACATCCATCTACTACCAGCACTTCCTCAGTTCCTTCAGGATGTGAAAGCATTTTGGATACCACGAAGAAATAAAAAACAGTTTATGATACACAATGGTTTACTGTCTTACAGCAATCGCAACATTATGAAATCACAGGACAAAAATAACTAAACGCTTATATTTATTTAGCACGAATTCTAAAACAATTAAGTTTGCTCCTTAGACAAATACTCAATATTTGGTGCCACGTTTTCTTACACGCTTTCATTGTAAGTTCAAAATCCATCCCTATCTGGTATGCATACAACGCTAAAACTGAGGATGTTTGGTGATACTGAGTGTTACCCTCCTATGTGTTTATCATCATATATTAAGTAAAATATCTCGTGCTTTTAGCTTTCCGAAAAAATCAAGCACGCTCCGCCTATACTGTTTTAACACAAGTATCAATGTTAGTCAACCTGACGGAAACATGGAAGGATACTGTGTATACTGTACACTGTGTTCAACTGTTTTTATCTTTTGAGATTCCCTCTCCCTATGAAGAGTATGAGGTGCTGTTAACCCAGTAATCACTTTTGTGACATGTTGTGGATGAGTTTACATCGTTATGGAGGGCACGCAGCTGGAGTTTGCAGTCATTGAGAGTGACGGTGAATATTTAGAAGACGCTTGTTCCAATTGAGTCCCAACAGTGATTGCCAACGAAATCATCCTGGATTGACTTGAAGACCATCAGGTTCTGGGTGGTATCGGTCGGTTACAAAATAGAACAGAGAGTTTTAGAGTGCTCCTTGATTTGTAATTACTCCTCAGATGACATAAGTCTCTGGCGAAAACCACCTAAGAGCTGTTCCATTGTCTGAAAACCAATCAACAGGGTGTTCAAGAAGCATTGTCAACGAAGACATTTTGGCAGCATTGTCATCACTTTCTGACCTTATTTATCGGTGATATTAACAAATTGTCTGCGCCAAACTGCAAAATGGTCATGAAGTCCCAATAGGAATCAGTAGTCTTTGAGTCCATATGCTAAGGAAGAAAATCAATCTCATAGAAGTTCCACTCACCATCCAATAAGTACTTGTCTTTACGGACAAATGCGAAAGCGACCACAGTCTTTTCATCCAGAGGAATGTTTTGCAACAACATGGGATGCTGTACTAACTTTTTGAATTTGCATCTTTAAATGGATTGACAGCCATCTTGGTGGTTTGGTTATGGTCAGGAGGACCGCGTTCAAAAAGTGCAATACTCACTTATAGACTAACTTTCAAATGAAAATGACTTGTCCTTGTCACTTGAGCAAAACCTAAATCGAAACTCGTTCCAACTGGTCGTTGTTTAAATACCTCATCTCCATAGACTAGTTGTTGTGGTAGTAAGTGTCTCCCATAATTTAGTTGATGTACCTTCAGAAATTGAACTACACATGCCATATACGTAAGGATTTCAGCCCACAAGTGAAGAAGTTGAACCTTGCAGGCAATCAGTGCACTAGCTTTCTTAAAGTTCCAGAATTGATGAAAGCCATTCTAAACAGAAATCTGTTTCGTGAACACTTATTTTAGGGGGTTAAACTAAATGCCACACGAAAACGAGATTAATAAAATTTCTTTCAACAACACTGAAAATGTATCTCAACAGACAAATTCTCTTTGTCTCAATCCATTTGGACTTCACAGGAGAGTTACGGTCAACTGAATGGCTTTCCCCCACAATATGGCTATATTCCCACTCAGCTGCTATGCCACTTCCCCGCTAACTAACCTTGTATTAAATCAGTGTTGAATTTTCAAACTATACCAATGCTAAAAATCATCTCTCAGGAACCTGATAAAATATGACAAAGTACTTCCATACAAGTCAACAAAACAATTGGTATCTTCTACCTTTAACGGGTTCATTATCGGCTCCCCACACAACCAAGAGGCCTGTTGATGTAGCAGTGATAGCCATGTTTTTCTCCGGTATATATTGAGTATAAGAGAACTGGCCAACTTTCTGCCTGAAGTCTTCATCCTTTAGAGAGGGCGCGTAAGCTACCATATCCTTTTCTTCATTTTTCTAAAGCATGTTAATTAGAGTAGTTATGCATACCCAATTATAAAAGATGACTTGGTGGTCACCGTTCGTGCAGATATGATGATGGTCATTGGGATTGAATACTATCTTCGTTTGAAAAGAATTTTCATCACATATTTTAGCCTGACAATGAGGAAAATCACTTCCGGTGGTCCAATTCCAGATAGCAAAACTCTGGTCAGTGGGATCAGCACTCAATGTAGCCAGGTAACGTGCATCTTTGGTAATGGCGATTGATATAACACCATTTTTGTGTGGTTTTATTATGACACGCACCGCTTCTCCGGTCTTTCCATCCCAAATGATAACAGCACTGTCAACACCACGATCTCCAGAAGCTAGCCAACGCTTATCGCCACTGCATGTTATACTTGTTATCTCATTGCACTATTTCAAAAGACAGTAAGAATATTTTCAAAACCCATCCTCACATGCCCTCTTAAGATTCTTTGTCTGTTGCTTTTGATATCATGCAACACCAGTAAGTGAGCGGATGCAAGAGCTATGACGTTCGAATGATCATTGCTCAAGTTTATAAGAGGAACAGAATGGTTAAATCCAAATGCCCATGCTGGAGATATTGCCTCTTGGTCATTTGGAGGTGACCACAGCTTCTCGTCTTCTGCTGCATGTTTAATACTTGTCGCCTCTACAAGTAAGATCAGAAATAAAATAAGAGATTAACGTCAAACACCATCTTCCATGACATTAACATTTTTATGTGGTCCATCTGATTTCGCGAAGAAGTAATTTCTTTAATAACAGGATACTAACCATTTGGCTGTACAGAAGACTGTTCGGAGTTGATGTTATGCTCAGTAATATCTAGGATATTCATCTCCACATTTCCACCTTAATAGAGTTGAAAGCAACTTATAAGAAACGATAGCGCGACCTACCTGGAAATTTCTCATTCCTCTCATACCTATCGGACCAATAAGCATTCACCGACTCTGAAGCTGGAGAGATCCGAAACATTGAGCACTTATTTCAAATAGGATCACTGATAGCGGTAGGCATAGTATCTTAATTTAGGTACGTTCTAAGTACCAAGAATTCGAATGACAATGTCTGAAAATGAGGAAATATTTTTGCCAGCTGTTTCACCCAATATCCAATATCTTTTTAACGAGCTTGTGTAAACCAATTGATCTCGTCGCGCTCGCTTCTTGTTCTTGCAGAACGGCTTCAGATCTTTGGCCAATTCCGATGCAGTAGGTCCAGCCACTCGTCTACCATAGCTCTGATTTACAGAACAGGAAGTTAAGTGTTGGTTTGTTTGCCTCTGACTGTGGTGCAGTTGGCTTCTTCAGGTGTCGAGTTGCCAGACAGTTGTTTGGACTGGTCGCTAGAGAGGTTTAGAGATAGTGACGAGAAAACCTAGAAAGTGTATGTGTGAGTAAAATAAGAGAGAAGAAGTGAACCAGTGAAGTAGTCTACTTACACCCTGGTAAAGTGAGTAGGGGTGCAGAGGTATGAAGAACTTAGGCAAGTGAGGCTAACTTATGGCAAGTGGAAGGGGTGAAAGCGGCTTAGATGGTTACAACAGAAAGAAAACTGGTTGGGGTGGCTTGACATCACTTCGTGTTCCAGCTATGCGTGGGTAGACCGTGAGTCTGCATGACTGTCCAGCCTCTTCTTGAAGTTTTCAACAGTTAGGGCGGAGACCAACTCTGCTGGTAGTGCGTTCCAGTACCCACAGACTCGGAGGGAGAAGAACTGTGAACACACATGCGTTTTTGACCTCCAGTGTGCTATTCCATTGGGGTTTCCTCGAGGATCTCCACAGCGGCCACTCGGTAGGACTCCTCTGTTTGGGTGACTTGGGTTACTCATTATTTTGTAAGCCATTATTAAGTCGCCACGTATCCTTCGATAGCTAAGGGAGTATAGACCTAGGTCTTTGAGTCTATCCTCATATGGTTTTCGTTGCATTCCAACGGCCCCTTTCGCGGCTCGCCTCTGTACCTTCTCCAGTAAGTTCGCACATCTTTTCAGCTGTGGTGGAGCGAGGACGTTATGGATCTCTAAGTGGGGCCGTATGTAAGTCTTGTAGAACTCCAGAAAGAGTTCTGGGGTGAGGGCACCCAGTTGTCTACGCACAAAGCGTAGTACCCATATGCTTTTGAGATATCACCTGGGTAATTGGAACTGGTGTCCAGTTTCTCCGTCACCGTTAGACCTAGGTCTTTTTATCCTGTGGTATGGGACAGACGTGAACCACAGAGATAGTAGGATGCTTTCTAGGTATCAGGAGTGCGGAAAAATATGGACCGGCACTTATCCAGATTAAATGCCAGTTCGTTATTAGTTCTCCATTCCTCTAGTGTTCTGAGGTCATTCTGTAATACCATACATTCCGCCTCGCAAACTATTGCCCTCCATAGCTTGACATCATAAGCGTATAGGAGGATCGGGGAGCTGATATGTTGCGGCAAGTCATTTACGAACAGTGGGCCCAAGATTGCTCCTTCTGAGACACCGGATGAGGATGTTCTCCAGGTTGAGTAGACCCTGTTGACTTTCGTGCAGAACTCCCTGTTGTCTAAGTAGTCCTGCAGCTATGATAGCACCTGGCTGCAAATACCTAACCCAGCTATCTTATGTATTAGGATATGGTGTGAGACGGTGTCGTAGGCTTTGGCGAAGTCCAGAAAAATTACGTGGACCAGGACCTTGAGATCCCGGCATGCTGTCCAGTGATAATGGGCCGTCAGGAGGTTGGAGGCACAGGACCTGCCCTTCCGGAAGCCATGTTGAGCGTCACTGAGTGTCCGCTTCGTGTCTAGGTATTCCCTGATACGGTCGTCCATCACACTTTCCATTACTTTTGATGTTACCCGTAGAAGTGCTGTGGGTCTGTGACAGTTGGGGTTCTGTCTCTCTCCTCCTTTGAAGATGGGAAAAATGATAGCCCGTTTCCACTCTCGTGGGAGTTTTCGTTCATCCAAGGAGTGCTGGAAGAGGTTGCAGAGAGGGCCACTTAGGGTGCTTGCACATTCTTTCAACACAGATGGGCGAATTTCGTCACACCCTGGGGATTTTCCCGCGCTTAACTTTAAAAGCTCATCGAGAACAACAGCGTGAGTTATCTGTATTTCATGTAACTCAGTAGCATCGGGTAACGTTGAGGGTTGTTCGTACAACTGGTATGCGCACTTTCTTGATGGAGTGTTGAGCTATGTGTCAAATGTCGTACTCAGCATTTCAGCAATCTCCTGTCCAGAGAGGTTTTCTCCGTTCGGACCTTTTATGACACATGCTCCTTGGCTTGTCGATTTTCTTTTTGCAGGAATCGGTAAAAGTCTTTAGGGTTTACTCAAGCCTTTCGGCGACGTTGGACTGGAACGACCTCCTGTCTCCCTGCACCCTTATGTTGCTTCGATTCCGTAGAGTCATGTATGTATCATGGTCGGCCTGTTCTCTGGAGATTCTCCACGTTAGCCATGCCCTTCTCTTGGCTTTTAGAAGTCACTCATTGTCCCATTCTAGACATGACGTTTGCTTTCTGGTTGTTGTTACGGCCAAAGGGACGTTTTGCGAGACGGCCACCTTGATGATATCTTTTACCAGTTCCCAGTGCTGGTTGATCGATAAGGAACATCAATCCGCTGGTCACGAAGCTGTTGAAAGGCTCTTGTTCATACCTTCGTAATTTGCCCCGTTGTAACGTAGGTAAGGGCGAGGTCCCTCCCGTGATTGCTCTTCACTAAATACCAGGTCGAACATTACCGTAGCTCAATCGCTACTTCTAAGAGGGGTTTGTACCTGGACGTTTTCAACCAGAAGGGGGTCACTAGTCAGTTGGTAACCCAGCTAGAAAAGGAATGCAACGTTATTTGGTTCATTTTTGTTGAAGAATGCATTTTCAGTGTCTAACATTAGCAGTGTAAATAAAAGAAACTTGCTGTTTGTGAACCGCATTTCTGGTCTTGTAACTTGGCTTTTTCTTCCTGGTATTGCTCTTCGGTGGTTCCAGTATACAATATCTGTTTAGCGAGCTTATGTAAACCAGCTGATTTCTTCTTTCTCGCCTCATGGTCTTGCGGAACGGCCTGCGGTCTTTGGCGGATTACGGTGCAGTAGATCCAGCCACTCGTCTACTACAGCCCGGATATACGGAACAGCTGGTTAAGTGTTGGTTAGTTCGCCTTAAACTGTGGTACAGTTGGCTTCTTCAGATGTCCAGTTGCCAGACAATTGTTCGGACTGGTCGCCAGAGAGATCTAGGCACAGTGAAGGGAAAACCTAAAAAGGAAAATTTGTGTGAGTAAAAGGGAAGAGAAAAGTGGATTAATGGGGTAATCTGCTCACATCGAAGTTAGGCGGAAAGGGGTGCAGAGGTATGAAGAACTTGAGTAGATAAGGCTAAGGCCAAGTGGGAGGGATGAAAATGGCCTTAATGGTTACAGTAGAAGGAAACTGGTTGTAGGGGTAAAGTAGTTGGAATTTCTTGGCCAGTTTGTTTCTTCTGTTTAGTTCGTGTTCCAGTTACATGTGGATAGAACGTGGGTCTCTGCGTGACCGCCTAACCTTTTCTTGGAGCTTTTAACATGTGAGGGGGGACTACCTCTGCTGGTAATGCATTCCAGTGCCCGCAGACGTGGAAGGAGAAGAGGCGTGACCCTTTTCCATAGCTTGACGCCCTCAGCGTGGCCGAGAATAGGAGGCTGATATGCACGGGGAGGTCATTCAAGAACAGCAGAAACAACAATGGACCCAGGATTGCTCCTTGTGAAACACCGGAGGATGTTCTCCAAGCTGAGTAGACCCTGCTGACTCTTGTGCAGAACTCCCTGCTGTCTAAGTGGTTCTGCAGCCACGATAGCAGCCGGCCGTGGATACCTTGCTCGGCTGTTTTGTGTAACAGGATGGTGTGTGAGACAGTGCCAGAGGCCATGGCGAAAACTAGAAAAATCGGGTGAACAGGGACGTTGAGATCCCAGAATGCTGTCCGATGATCATGGGCTGTCAGGAGGCTGGAGGCATATGACCTAGCCTTTCGAAAGCCATATTGAGCGTCACTGAGCGCTTACTTTGTGTCCAGATATTCCTTGACACAGTCGTCTATCACAATTTCCATAACTTCTGATATTACTGATGAGAGTGCTGTGAGTTTATAACTGTTTGGATTCTGCCTGTCTCCTCCTCTGAAGATATGGAAGAGGGTGGCCCGGTTCCCCTCTCGTGGGAGTTTTCGTTCGTCCTAGGTGTGTTGGAAGGGACTGCAGAGTGAACCGCTTAGGATACATGCACATTCTTTCAACACGGATGGGCGAATGTGGTCGCATTCTGAGACTTTTCCTGCGCTTAACCCTGATAACTTGTCGAGAAAAACAGCACGAGTTATCTGTACTCTGTTAACTCTGCAGCGCTGGATAACTTCGCAGGCTGTTCAGGCAGTAGGTATGCATGCTTTTCTAAAGTCCGCGATCCAATCCAGTCTAGGTTCTAGGATATCGGCAACTCGAAAGCAACCGACGAACTGATGCCCTCACGGAACCCAACACTTAGAGACGGATGCAGAAATCATACAATAATCCGGGATGATCCCCTCTGGACTTCGCGAAAGTGCGAACAGTTACTTCACCGAAAAGGTTCTACGCACTGAGTTACGTCCCACTAGTAGCGAGAACACAACTAGACGTCACAACAACCCAACTCTATCGTTTACTGGTGTGGGCAGCCAACATAAAACCATTTATCTAGAACAGCAGCATGCTACTTCGTGAAGAAAACCTTTGACCTCCGGTATGGCTTGCTAGGAAACAGCCCCCAACCCAACATAGCGCCAGTTATGTCCGTTGTGAACTGTGACAGGTGGCAGCCACTGGTAAGGAATACAACGCAGAACAGACATTTACAACAACCGCAAAAACGCGGTGATTTTTTATCCATTACATCCCTATCAGCCGCAGCTTGGTCAGACAACTGAAGGGGATGTTGAAGCCCCTTACTCTGAACCGCTAAACTTAGCGTTCTCGGAGCAACAGTAAAGACGCAGTCTACCATACACACAAACCTT